TAAAAGGCTAAAAAAATGCTCATTTTAGGAGAAGATTTCAGATGGCATTTAAAGTTTTTGCATCTGAACTCTTCATATATACCAGGACAAATGGTAGCCTAATTTTCATTTGTTTTTATCTAGTTTGTATAGATGTAGAAATAAATAATACAAACAGAAGTCCACATGCATTTCTTTGCACTAAAGCAAATTTACGAGACAGACAGAAAGATACAAACAGACTGACCGGTGTCTGTTTATCATCTCTATGTAGTGAAGCTGTGAGTTTAATTATAAAAGTTTTTGATGCATGCAATCTCATACCAAAATATAAAGCTTCCATCTGAATAGTGTATGTGCAAATAGGCCATTTTGCTTTATAAAACCATATTAAACACCATTTATATGGGCAAATCATGAACTATCATTATATTCTAAATTGGACTTTGGAAATAACATAAGTATTTGATTTACAACGGCATTCCTAAGTGGCTCGGAAATTATGCAAAAATGGACCTTGTGCAGTTTTTTTTGTTTAAGCCTGCAACAAATTGCAATCAGATTCAAGTCAGATTCAAGTAAGAAACAATTTTTGTTTCAGTTTAAATGCAGCCAAAACATGGTTTTGAAGATGGATCCACAATGATTTTTTTTAAAATTTTGAACAAAACAAAAAAATTACCTATAACAACTTTACAGCAATGCTTAATTCAAAACATATTTACGTATTTCTGTTTTAAGTGTAAGGTCAGGTAATAGTCTTTTAACTGTTTGTTAACTGTGATTTCTTGGAAAATATGGCTTCAAATCCTAATTTTGCTTCTCTATGATAAATATTTGTATAGAAAAACATGTAAAAATTTGTTTCAGCTCTGATTTAAGATCTTTTAACTTCTGGAAATACCTTTTTAAGTCCCACAAACCCAGGCAACGGCTAATGTGTTTATAAAAATAGACAGTAAACAGTAGGGATGCTACGGTTCTCAGTATTATATTGAACTGTTCGGTACGACATCCACGGTTCAATACACACTTGTGAATTGCGGTTTTCTCGGTTTTGCGTTTAAATAATTTATGTGCGTTTCATATCTCCCCGAAATGACTGTGTGTCCTTCCAAGTCCATGAGCTGAGATGAGGAAACTCATCCCCGCGAGTAAATATCCAATCACTATGCTCTAAATTTAGGGGCCGGTTAATCATCATTCCACACTTTAACATTGTGAGCGGCGGTGAAGTGAAGCTGAGGGAACAGTACAAGGAAGCGCCAGCGAAGTGAGGCAACATTATGAGGAAGTGCTGGCGTCTTTCAAATCTGCAGTGTGAGGACATTTTGATATTGCCGGTAAGTATCATGTTAATAAAAGAAAAAATACTGAACAAAAAAATAACTGTGTGCAAGCATTGTTTTACACCTTTAACTATAACTGCACATCTGCAGCACCATCACCCAGCAATATCACTGTCTGAAAGCAGGATTGCAGAGAAGGTAATAAAGTCCTCCAAATAGCAACAATCCCTCGCTGAATCTTTCCAGTAAACATACCCAACTGGTTCCGAGAAACACATAAAAATAACAAAGGCAGTGCGGGTGTTTATTGCTAAATAATTTGCAGCCGTTTTCGGTGATTGGAGATGTGGGCTTTTGTCATCTTATAAAAGCACTTGATCAGCGTTACAGACTACAGTCTCACATTTTTTTCAGCACTGAGATAATTACGATGGTTTATTAATGTTTACTTAAGTACAAATATGTTTACTTTCAAAATGTAGGAATGTATGCGTTCTACAGTTTGTACATGGGCTACCAGCAGCTGTGAGATTTCAGTGTTAATTTTTTTCATTCAATACACTAGGAACTAGTGTACTTTTCTTGGCTTTTAAGTAAAACAAAATGAGCATTGCAAATAATCTTTTTTATATTTTCCTCCTTAACCTCTTAATGTTCCTATTGCCTACAGAATAAAAAAACACATGTCAAGCCATGATAACCTGGTTAAAAAACCACAGTGTTAAAATACACAGTGTTAAAAAACCGAGGTATGTATTAAACCGTGGGCTAAATGTATTGTTGCATCACTAGTAAACAGTAATAAGGCTAAATTACCTTAACAATGTCAGAGTCCTGTAACCAGGCAGGAAGCTTTTTGGACTGACTCAGCACCTGGAAAAGCGTCGCCCTTAGAGCACAATAATTATCACCTCTTACTCTGCATAGACGGAACTCACTGGCTATTGCTTCATATCCCTAAAAAACAAAAAGGCAAACTATAAATAACAAAATATAATTTAAAAATATCATGCAAAGTAATGTGTGTGAAAAAAAGAATGCTCACTTTTCGTATGAGTTGACTTTTAGTAGTGTTGCCTCTCCACTCTTTCTCGCTGTATGTCTGAAGATCCTCAGCTGCTGACACGCTGCTCTGAGCTTCAACAACAGCCTCTGTTTGAAATTAAAGACATCTTTAACTTCTTTAACAAGCTCACATATATTTCTTAAACATTTAAATACAGGCAGAATACCCGAGTCTGGCTGGTGCTGCTTCTTCAGCTCTTCTGCTATCTCCTCTTCTCCTCTGTAAAGGTCCAAATCACTATAAAAAAATAAGATTTACTGCACAATGGTGCATACAAAAGTGTTGTCACTTCCTTAAGCTAATAAATAGTGACAACAATTACAACTGCACAAATTATAGTTAAAAGATTCTGTTTTTTAAAAACAGACTTTTACAATAAACCGTTGTCTATTCAACCTAATAGGACAATTATTAGTGATCTATTTAAAACAATTCTGATTTTCAATTTCAAAAAAAAATGTTGGTAAGCTAACTTTTTATATATAAACACCTATATTTTACATTAAAGTTAAAATTTTGCACATAAAATCTATAAAATGTCAAATGAAAAACAGCCACGACCTAATAAATAGATAATATACTGAAATAATTGCTGTGGAGTCAATCGCTAAAAGGGACAGTGAGCTTTCGTCTTGAAATCCAAGTGCAACATTTGAAATTCAAATTAAATGTAAATGTATTCCCAAATGATTTAACTCATAACAATACTATCTTAACCCAGGGTTTCACCAATGTCAGAGTCCTGTAGCCAGGCAGGAAGCTTTTTGGACTGACTCAGCACCTGGAAAGCGTAGCCCTTAGAGCACAATAATTATCACTTCTTATCTGCATAGACAGAACTCACTGACAATTTAAATTTAAGACTTTAAGACCATTATGAACGTAATTTTAGACTCAGAAAGGGCTAAAGGCTAAGGAATTTGTCAAATGGTCCAGATGAAAAAGATTTTTATTTGCCCCATCAAAAAAATGTATTATTTAATATTTTACAAGATAAATGAATAATAAAAAATAAATATTTTCAATATTTCTTAGCAAAATAAATAAGAATAGTTTAAAACCCATCAAGCTCTACTTGTATCCATACACTTTTCCAACATAAACTTTCTTTAAAATAATTTTTAAAATATTAAATAAACAAATGTTTAAAAGTTTTAAAAAGCATAATAATATAATTGTATGCACAACAATCTGTGCAGGTCAGTGACCTCAGCAGTAAATACATGGAGCACTTTTAGTTTTATTGAAATAGATTGTTGGTGATTGTATGGGTTTAGACAAGATTGGGTAGCAATACATGAACAAAAGAGAATTAAGACCTGTTTAAAAAGATGTAAGACCTGCAACACACTATTTCTGTAAATGTAAGACATTTTAACACCTAAAATTTAGATTTTGGGATGCAAGACATTTTAAGACCCGCGGAAAGCCTGTAACCTCAATCTAGCTTCAAAGAATACACACAGAAATATAATTTCTGATTTTTATCAACTGTAATTTGTCTTTGCTTTAAGAAGTACTTTTGTAAAATGTGGCCCAGGTTGTACCCTGCTTTCCCCAAAACAAACCTCCTCAATAGTGCACAGCACAGAAATAGTTGTACCAACAAGAAGGGTACCTTTTCTCATCTTCAGCAGAAGATGTCTTCATCAAATGTTCTTGGGATGAAGATCTGGGCTTTTTATCAGCATGTTGTTTTTGCATAGTGCAGGAAGAATTAGTGCTTCTCTCAGGTCCAGAAAAACAGGCATCCTTAATAACTGCCCGGCTCTTTTCTTCTGCTTTCTGACCTGGAGTACCTGGTGTTGATCTACGGGAGGAGCAACAGTTATGTTTAACATGGCATAAGACAAGCTAATGTATATCATATTTAGTACTGACTCATAAAGTCAACATATATTTGAAATAAAGACCAATACTAAAGCATACCCATGATTCTTTTTAGGTTTTTTGTTGTGACTCTGCTGTAGGCCAGAATCACAACCAGACTTTGATTTTTTCATTGTACCAGACTTTGCTTTTTCATGGTTTTGACTTGGACTTTTTGCACATCCTTCATACCTGAATCATATCGGCAGGTCCGAGCTGCATCTCTGCATGACGGGCTGATGCACAGAGCAAACACAAACAACAACAAAAACACATATCACATTACTTTTGCACTTCTGCACACCACAATAGAAGTTATGTGAAGTTAAGATATGAGTTGAATAAACAGACAAAATAAACCGAACAGAAGCACTTCCGCGTGTTATCTCACCAGTTACAGGTCTAGCCGTTTCAAATAACCAAGGTGACGATTAATAAATATTACCGTAATGGTTTACTAAATGCCTTCTTAGACAAAACTGATAAAGTCTACTATCCTACCTGGCTTTACGGTTTACTGACCTCACAAACACCAATTACAAAATATATGAGGATTACCATAGGAAGAGCCTTGTGAAAACTTCCTGTGAATATGGAATTGTGGGAATTGTAGTATTTCGGCGCGTTGCCGCAAAGTGTTGCCATGCCCACTTTTCTTTTTTAAAAGTTCGTCTCAATATATTTTGGACCTTTTTGAAAAATAACCGCATATTTGTGTTTTATTATTATGACACTATAAAATAATATTTTATTGAAAACTCAGGATGTTGCTGCGCTTTTGCTGTAAGATATTTTTGGACGAAATGCAGTCAGACCCCTCTCGAAAATACTGTAGGATATTTGTTATGATTCACAATCACATATATCTGCGTATGAACCAAGCTTTTTTCATTCATTTTCCTTCGGCTTAGTTTCTTTATTAATCTGGGGTCACCACAGCGGAATGAACCGTCAATTTATTCAGCATGTTTTACACAGCGGATGGCCTTTCAGCTGTAATCCAAATCCAGTACTGGGATATAGCTTTTTTCATAATAAAATAAAAATAGTAATAAATAACTAGAATTGTACATTTCCTAAAGGAAATGTGAATGGGGTTTGCGTGGCAAATCGATGGGGTACAAAATGGTACTAAACTGGGCAATAGCACTGGAAAGGTAAGAAATGGTGGTTGCTAAGATGTTGCTAGGCGGTTGCTAGGGTGTCCTGAGTGGTTGCTAGGTGGTTGCTAAGGTATTGCTAGGTGGTTGCTAGGGTATTCTAAGTGGTTGCTAAGGCGTTGCTAGGCGGTTGCTAGGGTGTCCTGAGTGGTTGCTAGGTGGTTGCTAAGGTGTTGCTAGGTGGTTGCTAGGGTGTCCTAAGTGGTTGCTAGGTGGTTGCTAAGGTGTTGCTAGGGTAATTTGGGTGGTTGCTAGGCAGTTGCTAGGGTACCCTGGGTGGTTACTAGGCAAGCCTCACATACATGCCTGATGAAATATTTATACTTAGTAAGCATTTCTAGCAAGTTACAGTACTTGGCTAGTCAATATTAGCATGTAGCTAGTCACTGCTTGCATGTGTAGCATACAGGAAGTTCCGTTTGCTAGCATGACTCAAACGAGCCAATCACCAAGTCTCTACGATGTTCCGATGCTGAGATATAGCTGTTGATGATTGGTTGCTAGGGTACTCTGTTTTGTTGCTATGGGCGAGGTTACAGAGTGAACTTGAATGTGGTTGGCTGTCTAAGTCAAATGAGCCAACACCCAAGTCAGTAGGACACTGCCAAGCAAAGATATACATGTAGGCCAGTTATAATGGCAGTCTATGAGATCAATTTGGGGGCGTGGCTTGTGAGATTCATTATCATATTGATATGCTCATTGGTTGTCTGAGTCAGATGAGCCATCCCTGAAGCCAATAGGACACTGCTAAGCAAAGATATGCATGTAGGCCAGTTATAATGGCAGTCTATGGGACCAGTTTGGGGGCGTGGCTTGTGAGCTTCATTATCATACTGAGATGCTGATTGGTTGTCTGAGTCAAATGAGCCCACCCCTGTGTCTCTATGACACTCCTATGTAATGTTATAGATGTGTGAACTTTATAATTGAAGTCAATGGGATCTGCAATGGGACATCCCACCCCATGTTAAGTCAATGGGACACTTATTAGGGGTCTTTAAGTGGTTTGGGGGGGCGTGGCTTGTGAGCTTCAAAATCATATTGAGATGCTGATTGGTTGCCTCAGTCAAATAAGCCTACCCTCAAGTCTGTATGACACTGCTATGTAATGTGATTGACATGTGAGTCAAGAAATGAATGGGAGTCAATGGGCCATGTTAAGTCAATGGGGACCCCTTTGGGACGTCCTAGCACCCCAGGGGTACAACTTATACCCCTTTTTGGGGTATGTTCTCATACAGGCTGCAACCCCCTACAGATGTTGCGAATCCCATATTTCTACGAATTTCACACTTGGCGCTACAACGCTTTAAAGGTCGTCCCATTTCGCGGCGCGTTTAGTGCTCTTCTAGAAAAATGAATGGGAGTCAATGGGGCCAATGTAAGTCAATGGGAGAACTTTGGGACGTCCTAGAGCCCCAGAGGTGCAACTTATACCCCCTTGCGAGGTATGTTCTCACTTAGGCTGCAACCCCCTACAGATGCTGTGAATCCCATAATTCTATGAAATTCACACTCGGCGCTGTGATTCGTCAAAGTTCGGCTCAATGTTAAGTCTATGGGATTTTTGGGCAGGTTTTTTGGCCCCTGCGGGGCCAAAAAACCCCCCACCGCTTATAAAAGTCATAGCACACCATTCCCGATAGAACCGGACGATTTGACACCACTTTCAAGGGTCTGGGGCGAAAGCTGCGGGACAAGTTACGCGCCGAACTTTTGGCAGAATTAAGAATAATAAACCACAATAGTAAGAATGGACTTTGCCTAAGGGCAAACCCCATTAATAATTGTTTTTTTTTTTTATTAATGGCATACATTATAGGCTGGGTAGCCTAAATATATTTTTAGACTTAAATAAATTACATATTTATATATTGTATTTTGTTATGTGAGACTATATTACAATTTTAAGCTGAATTTGTTTTAAATATTATTAAATAATATTTGACGATCTGGCAACACTTAAAACTGTAAACTATAAACTGTCTTTTAAAGTCTGCTTGTACACCTTCATTTCTTTGTGAGGCTTGAGAAACCCATTGGAGAATACACATCCTTCATTATCTAAGTCCTTGTAATAAAATCTGATATATCCTTGTGCAGTATCGAATCTCATTTGTGTCCTTTAAAGCAAGTCATCTATTTCCCACTTCATTGGATTCCGAGGTCAATATCCTATCTCATATGAAATCATTTGTATTCTTTATTGTTTGGATGGTGTGGAAATGCAGCAATCCCCCATCACCAGGGTAGTTTAGTTACATTAGTGTCTGATTAAAAATATATATGATTTACATCACACTGTCGCTTCTGCCATATTTCAGTTTTGTCTGATTTCAAAATATAAGCAGTGAAACACGCGTGTGAATTTAAACTCATTCTGACCAAAAAAAGAGCTTTATATTGACACTAGTTACAGTTCCCTGCAAATCTTTGTGCAGGATATTTTCATCCACTAGATGTCATCACTTAGTTTGATTGGAATTGTAGAGTAAAGTTTCTGGTGGTGATAAATCATGGGATGGAATCTCGTTTTTACTGAGAAATAAAAATATGATTGTGACATTTATCTCAAAACCTTTACTTTCCCCCATGGGTTGCCAAGTCTTTATCAAACCACCAAACTGCAATTCCAAGCTAGTTCAAAAGTAGTCCAAAACTGTTTAAAGGCAACAATGCATTGCTCTGCATCAAAATTTGTATGCATAAAAAAATATATATTTTGAAACAGAACTCAAATTTGCAGAGTTATAAATAAACAGTTTTTCATACTCATAGAGTTCAAATTTTTATTATGTTAAAAATAAATATAAAGTATTGACATCAAGAACTACATGAGAAATGTGTCAAGTTTACATTCCAAAATTGCTCTTTATAGCTGAAAAGTTCATTTTTTTAAATGAATGAAAGTGTTTTTGGGTCTTTTAATGTTTAGTTGCTTAAAGGATTGAGGATTCAAATTCTACATTGGCATCACTTTTGTAACCTTTATTTTATGTAATTAAAATTAAGGTGCAACAAAGCATAAACATTATTCATAATTATATATATATATATATATATATATATATATATATATATATATATATATATATATATATATATATATATATACATACATACACACATACATACAACAGTTCTGTCTGGTTCTCGAATCTGATTGGGTGATAGCCGTGGGATATTCTGCAATATCAGCAGTCCTACAGCCTCTTCACTCTTGTGTATGTATTACTCTGCCCGCATAGAGTGTCAGCAGGTCAATAAACTCACCTCAGTTTACCAAATGTTGCAGCTGTTGAGAAATATATTGTACTTTTGAGGCTTTTTTTTGGGCAAGAATGTAGTTTTATATTGCAATTATGCAGTTTATTTATAAAGATAGTGTATTTTAAATATGTGTAATTTCTGAGATACAGCGCCATCCACAAAATAAGCTCTTAGAGCAGGGGTGTCCAAACTCAGTCCTGGAGGGCCGGTGTCCTGCTGAGTTTAGCTTCAACTTGCTTCAACACACCTGCCAGGAAGTTTCTAGTATATCTAGTAAGAGCTTGTTTAGCTGGTTCAGGTGTGTTTCATTACGGTTGGAGCTCAACTCTCCAAGAGTGTGGACACCCCTGTTTTAGAGTATAGGAAAAACCCAGCATCTTTTTTAAGTTGATCTCTCTCTTTTGTATGTTTTAGTGCTGTATTTATCCCATAGTAATTGTAGTGTACTGAGTTTGAGAAGGGAGTCACATATCAGAAATGTGTGTATTTTGTGTTGGCCACTCTTTGTATAACCCTGAGTTACTTTTTGTTGGCCATCATGGTTTGTTTCTAACGCATCTGCTGTTTTTGTTACTAGTTCAGTTAACAGAAAGAAAGAAGACATGCCTGCATGTGTTTAATGTTTTTCCTCATCACAAACACAACAGTTATCTGGTAGGGATTGTGTTGCTTTGGCTTTTTCAGGGTTATTATTGATCTCCCAACTACAACAGAGAAATAAAAGTCTCTAGACTGATGGCATTTCATGCCGTTCAGCCTTATAATCTTTAAACGTCAACAAAATCACCTGTTTTGTCATCACTTTAGACATTATACAAGAGAATCATTCAAATACTACCTCTAAAGTGATGGTGGTGACGTAGCAACAGTTTCTACTGTTCTGTTGTCAGCTGTAGATGTGAATGATGGCAAAAGAAAGTACTTCCTCATACAAAAGGGTTTGATACTCTCTGTGTTTGATTTTCTTTTTATATACATGATTATGCCGTCAAACTGTTCTATACTGTACATTGTCACTGGTGGGACACAAAGGCACAACGCACAACACACACCTCCCACTCATTTATATATATATATATATACATACATATATCAAATGTAGTTATTAAAAAATAAATTAATCGGATGACATGGAGCTAAGGATGACTTTGACTGCACTGCGCCTGCTTTGCCAATGAGGGGGCATCAAAAGTAGGCAAGAGGGAGGGTTGGGAGCGTAAAACGTGAGCAAAAAGTGCAAGAATACATTCAGCCAACAGTTGATGCAGTAGAGCACACTACAGTTCTTGCAATGCCCTCCTTTGCAATAGGCATCCACATTTCCATAGTCATACTGCATTTTAATGCTCACCTTAAAATTAACGGTAAGATTACCAAACGTGTGCGAGAAAGAGGCCTGAGGCTGGAGAAATCGCGGTGTGGTGTCGCTTGTATCTCGGCGATGTGTGTGAGTGTGTGTGTGTGTGTGTGTGTGTGTGTGTGCACGCTGTGTCTTTAAGCGCCGCTCCTCCCCCTCCGCTCTCCTCTGCTCTGGAGGTGCTGAAACGTCGCCTTTCTCGTTTCAGAGCACTAGCAGCCATGGCTGAAATAAAGACGGGCATATTTGCCAAAAACGTCCAAAAGAGGATCAATCGGGCGCAGGAAAAGGTATGGATGTCATTGTGTACTTATTTCTGAAAGACCACAAACGATATGCGTATTTAAGCACGTTTGATAAAGCAAAACGCGACATTTGGTGTTCGCGGAGCTGTCCAGCAGATGCTCCGGGCAGAGGAAGGAGATTCAGGTATAAGATTGAAATGACATGCTTTAGGTTAGGGGACATTTCTTATCTTTTATCATTTCTCACAGGAATAGTTGACATTTTCAGTGCATGAAACCTTCAACATTACTCCCAGCATTAAAATGCGCAGACTCACTGCAATCTTAACCAGCACTGCCATTTAAAAGCGACCATAGAAGCTCACTATTACAGTAATTATCAGTCTAAATGTATTTTACGAATTTTAAGGGAGAAACCACTGATCTGATTTTGAAAAGCATTGGGTGACTGGTAGATTAGGCTATAACGTGTCACGGATACTGTGACACGTATTAACGTTTGTACTGCCTTGCCGTCTTATTTGGCTAGATTTCAGTTTTCCTTGTAGTTCTGACGGTCTACTTTATTATTATAACTCAAGATGTTGGTTGAAGCTGTCATTTTCCTGCAAGGTCAGGAGAAGGGGAGGTGGGGATGCCCTCATCTATGCGGTATGAATACTAGCTAGGGGAGATTTCCGAGTGGCCACGAGATCCTGAAGGCCGCTTAATGTGGCTGTTGGAGACACGCGACAATCTCTCGCTAAATAAAACCCGATATAAATAGTGGAGGACGTGTTTGTCGCTTTCTGTCGATGAATTTGATCTTATAGTGGTGTTCGGCTGTGGTTTGGTTGTCGTTTTTGCTAAGACCATCTGCGCAATGTAGCCTATCGCAGTTGTTAAGCGAGCTGAATATGAAATGTCTGACAGCTAGTAAAGCGAAGGCGTCTGGTAAACAGAGCCGTAGTGGTTTTCCCGAGCCGAGCCGAGCTGCACTAGCCTAAGCGGATTGTTTTTCTTTTAATACCCACGGTTCACCCACAGACTGACTGAGCTGTAATGAAACATCGAAAGTGAAGATTCCCTGGAGATTCATGTGTGATGTCCTTATAAGTATGAACTATGGGGGTGTCACACATTTCTTCCTCAGGGTGACTGTGCAAAAGTGGGACAGTTTTTGATTGATTCGTGATGGAGCCTAGTTTGTGCCATTTGTTACTCTTAAACCGTCTTAAAATGTGTTTACAGGAATTGAAATTAGATAGATCAGCTTAAGTGTTTATTTTATGTACTTGTTAGCATTTTCTGCAAAATGTTATATTTGTATCTATAAATTAGGCATGTTAAATGAAATGTCAGGCCCATAGCCAGCCTGAATGAAAGGGGTGGCTCTTTTTTTTTCAAAAAGTAGACCTTTTTGCAGTTATTGGCCTCATTTTCTTTTAATTATGAGATTTAAATACTGAATTTAGGTGACATTTTAAGCACATTTTAGCTGGATTAGCTTGTCAGCATAACCACACATTTTGGTGTACCAAAAACATTTCCTAAGTTTTTATAATAAAAGAAATATGACAAATATTTATTTTTAAAATCCAAATTGGTATTACATCACATATAATTAGAAAAAAGCTTTAAATTAAAAACTGTAGCCTATTGTAATTTATTTAACAAATAACAAACTGAACAAAATTAACTTTCCTCAGTCAAAATTTGGCCATTTGAATAATTAAAAATCTAATAAAATAATATTAATTTAGAGCTGCAAAATTTTTTTAGCCTCTCTTGTAAAAAAAAAAAGTACATTTTAAATAATTCATGCATAAAAACAATAGCCAAAATAGTATTTAAATTGATTTTAATATGAGTTGCTTTCAAGATTTAAAATGAAAGTTACAGGTCCAATTTTTTCTCTATTGAAAAACAATACAAAAGCAAAAGATGACTTTGCTTAAGTCAGATGTTTTCCTGCACAGCTGATGTTGGATTAATTATTATGAAAAATAATTGTTCGCATTGGCCAAAACATAACTGAAGGCACTCCAGCATTCTGCTTGGTCTTAAAGCCTTTTTCAATGGGTTATTTTAAAATATTTTTAAAATAGGACTAATAAGGACAAACTCTGGACATTTGTCAGTGAGGGGTGGGTCTTCCTAACCACTCAATCCCCCCTGGCTACAGGCCTGAATGTTGATTTGAAATGGTCAAGTTGGCTTTTCCAACATTGTTAATGGTGCATGGTTTAAATAACCAGCTTGATTGAGGCCTATCAGGTTAGGGTTGTATATCGTTTTACGTATTAAAGGGATAGTTCACCCCAAAAATAAACGTTTGCTGTTAACTTACCTATGAATTCTGGAACAAGGAAAAAGTGAACTACAAGAAACAGATATTATTTCCAACATCAATTGTATAATTATTACTGGTTATCAACAAAAAACTGGTTGATTTATTTTTAAAGAATCCTGTTGATTTTCTTCATACAGTTCATGCTAAGATGATTTAGACATCCAAACATAAAGCACTACAAAGACATCAGGCTAATGAAACATTGTCATAATAATACCCTTATGACAGTAAATAATGACTTCAATGTTTGATTGCCTCATGATGTTTAAGAAGCAATCAATCATGAAACTTTTCCCCCACACTTTTTACCTGATGACTCACTCTAAATTGCCATAACTAAAATCTGAGCTTTGGTCTGTAGTCAACATAATGATTATCACCACCGATGACAGAATTTGAGTCTGACTGCTCAGGATGTCTATCAGTGTAACGTGACTCCCTTACGAGGGTTAAGACCAGCACATTCAAGGAGCAGGTATACAATTTAATGCCTCTGGAACAGAAGATCCAGACCAGGGCAGATAACATGATAAGGGGTGTAAGAGATCCTTTAATCTATGTCCTGGTGGGGACAAAATACCTCACAATCATCTGAGATCACTCATAATCCTGTTGCTTACCCGTCACAGCAAGACTGCAGCATCGTGACCACGGTGAACTCTTGTGAACTGCAGCAGTGTTGTGACTGTTTAATGCATTTATTCAGTTGCATTGTGACAGAAATGCATGCAAATTTATTTGTCTGTCGCTCTCGCAGGATCAATATTAGCCTCGGCATCTTAGGAAATCATATGTAATTCAACTATAACGCCTCTGTTCCATTTGCAATAAACACATTTGCTTTTCAAATTTGATTTAACAAACCTATGAGATCTTTTTTTGTAAATGTTATCAAACACTTTTCGAAGGATCATTTGTTAACATAAAGTAGAGGACTTCACTGCGCTGTGTGGATGAGGCAGGGTGGAGTGTCTGTTTTTAAGGCCTAAGTTGTGTTAATATTTCATAGGCTGGCTGCTGCTGTTGTATAGTGTTTCCAGACTGGGCATTGTGTCTTAGATTAGTGCTGTTTGCCTTCTAGACAGTTCAGTGTTGATTTTCTGACTCTAGATTTAAAGGATAGACCTTTAAAAAAAAAAAAAATGAAAATCTCAATAGATGTGAAATTTCTAATGAACAGGAACATGCAGTTGAACGCAGGTGGATTTTTGCCCTCTATACTTTGATGTATATATTTTAATAAATAAAATAATGTGATAAAAATACAAAATACCTTCTTTTTCTGTCTCGTTTAGATATATAGGGAAGTAACCGAAATATATATGGAATTGTCTATTTTAATTAATGATATATGATTATTAAAAACAGTAATAAAAGTACAAAACACCTTCTGTTTGTGTCTAATTTAGATATAAAGGGAATTATGTAGCATTATGTGGTTCTTTTCGGCTTAGTTCCTTTATTAATCTGTGGTCTCCACAGCGAAATGAACCGCCAACTTATCCAGCATATGTTTTACGCAGCGGATTCCCTTTCAGCTGCAACCCATCACTGGGAAACATCCATACACACTCATTCACACACATACACTATGGACAATTTAGCTTACCCAATTCACCTATACCACATGTTTTTGGACTATGGGGGAAAACCGGAGCACCCAGAGGAAACCCACGCAAACATGGGGAGAACATGCAAAATACCCTCTTTTTGTCTCTCATTTAGATATATAGGGAATTAATTGAAATATATATCAAAGTCTATATTACAATTAATAATATATGATTATTAAAAACAGTAATAAAAGAACAAAATACCTTCTGTTTGTGTCTAATTTAGATATAAAGGGAATTATGTAGCATTCATTGAAATATATATCAAAGTATATATTTCAATTCATGTTACATTATTCTCTAAATGACATATTGTGCCTGATTATGAAGCATTGCATGTGTTGCATGGATGTGAAAATACTGTATCTCAGTGAGGCATCATTTCTTAATGTCATTTATATGCATAATGCATATCAGAGAATTATATTGATCCATATCAAAGGCTTATCCAACATGTGCGAGTGTGTTACAAAGAAAAACATCCAGATGGCATGTTCTTGCCACCCAGGAGCAATGTGGGGCTTTTGTATATGACCTTATTCATGATACCAGGGGGCCGAGCCTGAGTTTTACTGACCCAGACCCATGCCATATACTCTCTTTCGTGTGGTGGGAGGCCTGTACTCTACACTGTTTTCTGTACTCTACACACACACACAAACACACACACACTCACAAACACACACACACACACACACACACACACACACACACACACACACACACACACACACACACATATATATATATATATATTTATTTATATTCAAGCCCCAAAATATTCATATAGTAGGGGTAAGAATAATTTCAGGCTTGACTGTATACACACACACACACACTAATCAAACATTTGTAACTAATATGTAAATGTACCACTTGAAGTTTTTATTAAGGTTTTAGAAGCGTTTCATACATACATGCTATTTTTATATAAACACGTTTATAGTATCCTAATACTGAAAGTTCTATTTTACATAAAATTTAACAGTGACTACGTTTACATGGACATCAGTAATGGAATCATTTGCCTTAATTTAAATAAGACAATAACATGATTAAGGCATTTACATGAGTTGCTTTTTGAATGTTCCTTTCATGATCCCTTTTTACATGTTGTAGCACATAATTCGTTTAACGTCATTGCGTCAGCACGCTATCCATGTTTCTTCCGGAGTTTTATGTAATTTCGTGTGTTTCATTTTTAGTTTGTTGACTTTAACTGCAGCTTGGCATTTCAGGAACATTTCATGCATGCCACCATGACAAACGAGGTATTGGAAGCGAGTATGAACTGCTGGAAGAGTGTTGTTTTAATGGAATTTGATTAAGCACGCCGAATAGGGGAAAAAACCCTCCCCATTTCGCTATGTGATGTCTGTGGTCTTTCATTGACTAGGTAGGTGCAGAGAATAGTGTCAAACAGCCGTGTGTTGTCCAACATGACGGTAATAGTTTGAGTGTGGTGTTTACATGTCTGTATTACACTTCAATAATGCAACTAAAATCAGCATACTCCACATGTCTTAATTGGATTCCTGTTTTGTTCAAATATGACTTTAGTTAAATTACTAAAAAAAAAGAAAATCGCCTTTTACCTGGTCAACGTTTAATCAGAGTATTGTCTTAATCGTATTAAAATCAGATTATTGGTGTCCATGTAAACGTCTTCAGCGTGAGATCAATGTTTATAGGTGAGTAAAAGGTCAATTTAAAACTGTTCCTCTTAAAAAATGTCTTATCAGAAGACATGGACCAAAAACATTTATGAATGTTTGAAAGCATCTGAGTTTTAGGTAAATTCAATGAATGTATATAAATTTCTGTTATTTGATTTAAAAACCTTAATCTTCATTTTGGAGTGAATATTATTCCTTTGATTTTCATCAGTAAGTTTCTCTAAAAAATGTTAACACTCAACAAAAGTGATCACATAAAAAGATAAGCTATTTATTTCAGTGGCACCATACAGCAAATAAACAAGAAAACATAATAACCCTGTAATTTGTAAATGTGTTGTATTTTTCAATTTGAACCATGTTGCTTGTTCAGACCCTGATCTAAAATACATTATTGTTGATCTAACAAAGTTTATGTTTATGTTTATGTTTAAAGTCATATTTACAGTAGTGCACATTTCACAGTTCCTAAAATTAGTATAAATAATAGCTTTTTTCATAATGTGTGTTTCCTAAACTTTAGAACTGTTTGTTATTGCCTTTGAATTACACTTTATAAAACATACCGTACAATGGGCTCTTTGCAAAGCTAGAGTTTTAAAGCCAACAATAAAAACTTTCGGTGAAAGTTTAATGTGACTATTTTCAATTTCTCAAGGTTGCTTTACAGCATTGATATTGTAATGGAATAACAATTAATTCGGTTAAGTAAACTTCAGCCTTCATTTTGTTGTTCAAGCTTAAAACTAAATGAAAGACCATTGTAATCACTAGCACCGTCAGTAGCAACAGGCTAGTGCAAACATTCCATTGAAAATACTGGGGTAAAATAAACTGTCATATTTTAAAGACTTAGTATCGTATATCTAAGGGCAGTGAAGATTGCTGATTTTGAAAGAAATCTGATCTTAAATGTGACAATTTTGTAATGCTGCCTGGCTGAAAATTAAAAGTTCATGTGCATATAGCCCATTATTACCTTAAGGAGCTAAAAAATATTTTACATTATATAATCCACACATATAAATAGGGCTGTGCAATTAATTGAAAATCCGATTTCGATTTTGGCTTCTAACGATTATAAAAAAACCATAAATCGAGATAAACGATTATTCCATTATATTCCATGAATTGGGTTTACCCCCTTTCCAGTTGTAAACATTTGTTGCTCTTAAAAGCGCGAACTAAACCACATGCTACTGTGTGTGTGTGTGTGTGTGGCGTGCACACACAGTCAGAAGCATGCGGTCAGCATTCGGTCTCATTCGCACTCTGTGAGGAGCAGAGCATCTAAAGTCATCTTAATGTGAGCGCTTTAATGGTCAAATAGGTGTCAAAACGCAGTGTTTAGTGATTATTCATATTAACCATTGTTTGTGTTATAAACAAACAAGTTGAGGATCAAAAGACACGTGAAAGAGAAACAATTAAAGATCATTATTTATCAAATAACAAATGAAGAAAATCCCTCACTGCTCTTGACTGAAATACTTTTGTAGCTAAAGTGTTTTTCTAACAGTGAAGATGCTTAAAGCACAGTTTGTTTCATATTTTTATTCTAGTGTGTTTATTTTTCTTTCCTTTGCAGGGAGGAAAATAACTGTATACAATTGAAATATTAGCTCTACTGAATATTAGCAACCCTTTTCCCCCAATTTCTGTTTAATGGAAAGAATATTTTTTTTCAACACATTTCTAAACATAAAAGTTTTAATATCTCATCTCTAATAACTGATTTTTAAACTTATTTTATCTTTGATATGATGACAGCACATAATATTTGACAAGATATTTTTAAAAATACAAGCATTCAAATTCAAAATGCGATTCAAAGGCTTAATTAGGGTAATTAGGCAAGTCATTGTATAACAGTAGTTTCTTCTGCAAGACAATCGAAAATATACCTAAAGGGGCTAATATTGACCTTAAAATAGGTTTCAAAATATTTAAACCTGCTTTTCTTCTAGCCGAAATGAAACAAATAAGACTTTCTCCAGAAGAAAAAATATTATAGTAAATACTGTTAAAGTTCCTTGCTCTGGTAAACATCATTTGGGAAATATTTATTTAAAAAAAAAATTCTCAGAAGCGCTAATAATTTTGACTTCAACAGTAATCGTTTTGAATGATCGTGATTACAATTATGAACAAAATAATCCTACATATAGTTACATAATATTTTATAATAAGCTAAAAGCCAGGTTTGTTTTTGCCTGACAGAACTATTTATACAGATAGAAGTAGGTCTATAGAAGGATTTAATAATGTTTGGTTAACTACACTCTCTGTAAAAACATTACAGTAATAATCTAATATAATATATAATTCTGACATTTTGAACTTAATGTGTTACTTGATGTTTCTTTTTTAATTGTTTGCAAAATTGTTGTTACATAATTTTTTATATTCAGCACACTTTGAAAACCATCAATGCTGTTTGTTTGCCGAAGCAAACACCCATTGCCTTTGTAATGGACTATAAAGCCTTCTATTGTATTGCTTACACAGAACCTGCTCATTATCTCCATTAACTGTATGTTGCCATTGTATTACATTGTACATTCTGTTTTGATTCAAACTCTGCAATAAATAATAAAAAACAACAACATTAAAACATGTATGTATTGCATGTATTTCTAGACACCCGTCTTGTTCTCAGCAAGTGCAGTGTTTGAGTAACAGATGACAGCCATTTTCATGTGTTAGTCACTATGGGTAGGCGATGAGGCAGTCATGTGACAGAAGTCCTCTTTTTGGCAAAGGGACCTGACAGACTAGCGTAGTTTATGGCCATTTTTCCTCCCCCGCTCATTCTTTGTGTGTCTGTGATACTGTCCACAGGGTGATCTCTCTCTGTTAGAGGATTCCCTCATGGGGCTGCTGTGCGAACATCATATATCATACAGGCATTTATCAAAATTCATCTTACATTTCTCTGGGTATAGTCATCAACAGAAAAGCATTCAAGTGTGCTTCATGAGGTTGCAATATGTGTTAACATGTCCATGAACGGCTTGAAAATTAGAGAGGTCTAAGGGTTAAGAACTGTGCAATAATATTTTGTATCATTCAGCAGTAAGTAATACTTTGCTTGCTGTAGTAATTTTTATTAATAAGGATTGGTCTATGTATGAATGTTTATGATTTTTTGCATGACTTTTTAGTTGGTTGGCATAACTTAGATAGTTTACCCAAAAAGGAAAATCCTGTCATCATTTACTCACTCTTTACTTGTTTCACAACTTTACGAGATTCTTTCTTTTGTTGAACATAAAAAAAGATGATTTGAAAGAAGCTGGAAACCTGTAACCATTGACTTTCATAGTTTGTGTTATTCCTACTATAGAAGTAAATGGTGACAGGTTTTCAGCTTACTTCAAAACGTCTTCTTTTGTGTTCAACAGAATAAAAATAACTAATAAAGGTTTAAAACCACTTGAGGGTGGGTAAATATTGAGTACATTTTCATTCTGAGCAAACTATCCCTTTATGGAAATATAATAGCCTACATCCTTCATTCTGTTGTTTTCCAGATCTGTTGTTCAAGGGTTATTATTTCGGTGTTATGATAGCCTTTGACAAAATCATATAGATGATATAATGATGATCATTACATTTGTTTTACTGAATATGGTCTCCTTGCCCATAAACCATGCGCATGCTCCTTTTTTTGATTGCTAGATGTCAATATAAGTGCTGGCTATGCAGTGTTTCCATATATTGCTACAAAAACAAACATATAAAGAAAAAAGCAAGACCTAAAAAGCCCCTGAATCTTTGCATTTTTTTGTTAATTGGAAACAGAATCGCTAAATAAAAGTCAAATAATGCAATGCTTATAATTACAAGATCTGGCAACGTGGCGAAGCGGTGGCTATCTTCTAATGCTCATTGACTAATTCTGAATTTATGGATTTATTTAGCCACAAGATAGTAAATAATTCCTCATTCACAGAATACAGAAAATTTATGTATAGACTTATTTGCAAAATTTTAAATTGGTAAAACCTAATGTTTTTCGTCTGTTTTCAGGTTCTGCAGAAGTTGGGAAAGGCGGATGAGACAAAAGATGAACAGTTTGAGCAATGTGTGCAGAACTTCAAAAGACAGGAGGTAAGATGAGTCTGATCTATTGGGCGATGCTGTTTTTGGCTGGTTTATTGGCTCTTTGGCTGGTTGGTGTGCAGGATTGATTTTCCCACCAGCAGCAGCAGAGATCCACCTCATGCGTAAACAGTCAAAATCTCTATTCTTTTCTCTCACTCTGTGGTTAAACATCACTTTTAAATGAGAATGATAAATATTAGTGAAAATATGTTCATTCACTGTCTTTAGCTTATTTGAGATGCTAATAGGATTAAGACACTTTCTCTTTTGTCTGAAAAGTCTTTACAGTCTAAATGATTCTCATTATTGCCATCATTAAAACACTTCAATAGCAAAATACTACAAAGGCACTGCCACAAATATAGTTTTCGCTTTCTTTAGAAATATTTCCCTATTCTCTCTTTATTAAAAAATATGTGGACTAATGCTGTACACTTAAGCTACTCAACATCTAAATATATAATTGTGGGCGATGCAGTAGGTAGTGGTGTCGCCTCAAAGCAAGAAGGTCACTAGTTCAAGCCTTGGTTGGGTCAGTTGGCGTTTTTGTGTGGAGTTTGCATGTTCTCCCCACGTTTGCGTGGGTTTCGTTCGTGTTTTTCGCGTTCAGTTTCCCCCACAGTTCAAAGACATGCGCTATAAGTGAATTGGGTGAGCTAAATTGTCCGTAGTGTATGTATTTGAATTAGTGTATGGGTGTTTCCCAGAGATGGGTTGCAGCTGAAAGGGTATCCACTGCGTAAAACATGTGCTGAATAAGTTGGCGGTTCATTCCGCTGTGGCAACCCCAGATTAATAAAGGGACTACGCTGAAAAGAAAATGAATGAATATGTATGAATGCAATAAATAAAAATCTTATACACACACTGTCCATTCAAAAATACATTACAGTTATATACATATATGATAATAAATACTAGGGATTCACTGATATGGATTTTTAGGCTGATATATACAGATAACAAATAACACTTTCGATTTGGAGGCCGATAACTGATATATTAGCTGATAAATATAAATATTTCAAAATGCTTTATTTTTATACAGTAAAACACTGATTTTATTTAAAAACTTCTGAAAAGTTTGAACAGATCTTAGAATAGCCTATCCAAAGCAAAAAGAGCAATAATTAATACATTGCAAAGTGATTATATAGACCTATATTTACGATTTCATAAAAAAAAATCAGCATGCCAAAAAATAGATTATTTCTTTTTCTTTGCATAGCAAATTAACATGCAACTTGACTGTTGCATAAAAATAATAGGTCAAATAACAAAATGAGAGGAAGGCAATTTTGTTCAATGACATAATCTATTGGCTCAAAGATATCAACCTAATTTTGATATTGGACCATTAACGATAACATTAAAAATAGCATTTATCAGCTGATAACAATATGGCCGTCAATAGATTGTGCATACCTCATGAATACTAATAAAATGAATAAATACCATTTATTATTGTTCATTTATTTTGATTATATTACGTTAATGTTAATAAATAAAACTAAAGTAACTAAAATTCCATTTGCCAAGTATAGTCTAACAAAAAGTGCTTGATATGTAAATCTTAATACATTTATTTGAAAATATTAATATAGAATTTGATAGTTGATTTGGTTGATTTGGTCAGATAGTGACCTCTGTTAACATTTTTACATAACATGTAAATACATGTTAAAATAAACATTAAAAAAAATGTGTAAGTCGCATGGCATTTTAAAACAACATAATGGGCATTAATCACAGTATCAATAATTAGGGCTGGGCGATTAATTGAAAAGTAATCAAAATCGATTTTGCAGCCACATCTGATCTCGGGTCAAGTAGGACGATGGACCTATTCTTGAGCCTTGCTCTGCACAACACTGACGATGATTGGAAGTTGCCACAGAGATGCCTTGAAATGCATATTTTCCAATACACTAAAATTATTATTTACGTGAAAACATTTGTTTACAGAAGATTCAAGAAATGCACTTTTTAAAATATTGCTTACATTATATACAAGAGTTATTTTACTTATAAGAGATACTGCTTATTTTCTACTTTTTAATATGATACATTTTTTAAATAATTAATTTTGTTTCCAAAAGTGCAAGTTATTTATTTGTACTTTTTTTGATTTTTTGAAAATTTTTAATTAGTCAATGTGGGTTTTAATGTCAGTTGTTAACGTTGATAATCCTAGATAGTAGATGCGTAGTGTGTGTTCCCTTAAATTATTTTAAAATCAAGTAATGCAGCATTCATTCACAAATCTCTCACTTGTAATTTACTGTACAAAACCTGTCTGTGAACTATGAGGGCAAAAAATAAAATAAATAGATAAATAAACAAACAAATAAATAAATAAATAAATTAATTAATTAATAATATAATATAATATAATATAATATAATATAATATAATATAATATAATATAATATAATATAATCAATCATGAATCATAATCAAGTTAAAATTATCAATTATTCGAGATTTTGATTTTAGGCCAATTCGCAAAATAATTCGCAATAATAGCAAATATACCTGTTGTGATGAGTCAGAATGTTGTGATGGTTCCCTCTGGTGGTGCACAAGAGGGTTGGCATCGCCCTCCTTTACAACAATACCATAGTTCATATACACAGCTGTATAAATCATATTGGCCTAATTACTGCAAACCACCATTTCTCCTCCAGCTCAGTATTTAACACCAAAATAATTTAGTCTGAAATATGATTAGTTTAATGATTAATAAGCTATGCTATTAAATTTCAGGTTGAAATTAAATGTCTGTGAGGCCAGATAGAGTGAGAAGTGTGTAGTTCAGACATAAGTGTGTGTTTGCTAAGGAAATAGCAGCAGTCTAATCCCACCCTCTCCACCTGTCCTCACTAATCCTGATTAGACTGCTTTATGCTCCAGTGTGCCCGTGCTTCCAGAAACACTCTCCTCTCCTCCGCTCACCTCCAAACTTCTCCTCTCATTTAACCCTACATGCACACACCAAGTCGATGACTTTCTGCTCTGCACTTTGTCAAAGAGTGATGGGTGCTTTAAATAGAGCCATGCAGAATGAATTGGTTCGATATTAAATTTGCTTAGTCAGAGTTGATCACTACAACTGGAGGATACCAGTCACAGCCAAAACTGAACCCACACACCATATGCTGCCAATCTGGCTCATGAAACACTCGCTGAAGCAGAGACACGGAGCCATTAACTGCACTGAGATACCAGAGACATCAATTTTCAACATAAGGGACTGTGAAATGCTGTCAGTCAGATTATGGCTGAATGCAAAGCCCATTCCAGTCTGTTTGATGTTAAACAACCATATATTATTTATATATTATAAATGTAAATTAAATCTTTGGCGTATCCAGAATGTGACTGTTACATTTAAGCCTGACAAAACCTACTGATCATTTATTACCTAAAATAAATAATCTGCCCCAATTTGAGCAAAACATGTGCCTTTACAGGTCCCGTGAAGTGATTTGAAAACATCAACATTTTTTTTTTTGAGGTTTGACATAATCTTAACTGAAACATGAAGAGAGGGTGGGACATAGCATAGCTCCTCCCCTTTTAAAAAAACTGCCAATAGCGTTTTGTTTTATCACAGCTCTACCAGTGAGAGTAGTTGAGTTCAAGTGCATTAAATAAAAAGCAAATGTAAAGTGTCTTGAGGGGGCGGGGCATGTGAGATACTACTAGAGTGCATTTGATTGGTCAAGATTTGACGTGAATAAAACCGTTGATCCATTTAGACAGAAGTGACAAACTACAAGCTTTACATGTTTATATCCTCAAATTTTGTCCATGTTTTGAAGCAGACTAACTTATAGATATCCTAAAAACTAAAAATACTGATCCTAACATCTAAAAAACTTTGTTTTAATTTCGTGGGAACTTTAAAAGCAAACTAGCTGGTGCTTTTCAAAAGAGGAAGGGCCTATACATGCTATTGCAACAGAAACTATCAAAATCTCAAACAGACAAAATGTCAGAAATGACCAAAAGTATATTCAAATGTTCAGAGTCAGACAATGGTGGGGGGAAAATATCTACTTTTAATATGCACCACTGTTCACATACACTGGACATTTCTTAATGAATTAGTAAACACATTTATGTCATTCTGTGTTTTTCTGTTACTGCTATGTTTCTTTGTGGTGGCCTTTGCAAATAACCTTTAGAGTAAAATTGTCTTATCGTCACAAAAAAAACGTGAAAAGTCAGACTATACAGTGCATAATCCCTGTGCTTTTCTTAATTATGCTAACGGTAAGCATTTTTGGGATAAATCTAACGATATAGCTCTTGATAATGGTAACTTTTGCCAGATTAGCCTTACAGCATGTTAACAAGGATATTTTCATACAATATTTGACAATCTTAAGCGAAACATGAAGAGAGAGTGGTACACTGTAGCTCCTCCCCTTAAAAAAAAAACAGCCAAAAAGTGTTTTGTTTTATCACAGCTCTGCCAATGAGAGTGGTTGAGATCAAGCGCATCAAATGAAAAACAAATGTAAAGCATCTTTAGGGGGCGAAGCATGTCAAATACTAAAGAGCACTTGATTGGTCAAGATTTGATGAGAAACTGTAGAATGAGGTGATGGTAAACCATTTAGACGGAAGTGCAAGCTTAACATGTTTATATCATCAAATTTTGTCCATGTTTTGAAGTACACTAGCTAATAGATATCCTAAAAATGAACAATACTGATACTAACATCTAAAAAAACTTTGTTTTAATTTCATGGCACCTGTAAAAGAAAATTAGCTAGTGCTTTTCAAAAGAGGGGCCTATACATGCAACAGAAACGACAACACTTCAAATAAACAGAAGGTCAGAAATTACCAAAAGCATATTAAATTGTTTAGACAATGATGGAGAGGAAGAATATCTACTTATAATATGCACCATTTGCACTGGTGTTCACATACACTGGACACTTCTTAATGAATTAGTGAATACATTCATGTCATTGTGTCTTTCTGTGATACTGCTATGTTCCACTGTGGTGCAAATAAACTTTATAATAAAATTGTCTTACTGTTACAAAAAGCATGAAAAGTCAGGCATAATCACTGTGCATTTCTTAATTACGCTGACGATGAGTGCTTTTGGCATAAATCTAATGATATAGCTCTTGACAATTGTAACTTTTGCCACGTTAAGCTTACAGCATGTTAACAATCACATCCAGAATGGAAAAAAGGTAAAAATGTACTTAAATTTTCTGGGAATAAAGAAAGAGCACGAAGTGTTGATGTAGACAAATCATTGAGGAATAGCCTTGAACTGACCCTTGTATGTGAAGCAGTTAACCTGCAAAAATGTAGACAAAGGGGCAGTATTATTTAATAAGATCTACCTCCTATATTACAAGGGTCCTGAAAACAGAAAGCTCAGTGAAGAAAAAGGTTTACCAACACAACCCAAGTTACTGAGTTTTCTTTTTTCCACAGAAGACACATTTGTTGCACTTTAAGAAAAAAATCTGATTTTCAGAATTTTTCACCTGTAATATACTACACAAAATAATATGTAGTGGCACTACTAATTACAAACACTAAAATCTTTACTTAAAGCTTCCTGTGTGTTTAATTTCTCTCTAAGCAGATGTTGCTTTCATGCATAATGCTAACATATTTCAGATTTCTGCATCGAAAGGTACAATATTCAGCTGGATTAGATAGAGAAAGATTATCAAATCTAATAGAGGTTGCCATTTGGGCTTGCCAGTCTCCTTGCAGCCAATTGCTGTTTCTGGACTGCTGATCCTTGTGTGGAGTGTGGAGAATGAAATGACTTCCATCTGCTGCATTGACTGAATAGCTCATTGTGAGCATATCTTTTGTATGAATGGCTGCATTTTTCAATGCGACGCTGTGATTTCAGCACCATGGACAGCAATTATTTTCCACCACTTAGTGCTAGAATTATTATAGGGTGTGCAGTTTGAAGATTTTTTTTTTTTTTTTTTTTGAAGAGCTGCTTTTTATTGCAAAAATATTTTAAAATCATTTACTTTAAAAAATACAAAGAAATCAATATGTGGGGTGTTTTAATTTCTGCTTGTATTCTGTCCTGCTCAGGTCTCAATTCAAGAACTATGAAGCTTCCAAAAGAACATTAATCCACTGGCAAACTAACCCTACACTGCCAGATAACTAATGTGTGTCTTATGAAGCAAATCAATGTGTTTTTATAACAAAAATATTTCACATTTTAAATTATAAACTCCGATCCCTGATGCTGCCGAATGCACATTATGCGTGACTGACTTAAACAACATGAATGAATTATTAGGAACCCTTAATTTTTTTAGAGTGTAGTTTTTCAAGTTTTTTTTTTTTTTGTGCAATTTTTGCGATCAAAATAATGAATTGTGTGGTGGTAATTCTCAGAAATTTTCTGAAAATTTAGCGATTAAATTAAAATGAATATTAAAAAGAGAATGTTTGATATATGATTATCATTCTGTCCAATTGCATTTGGTCCCTTAACAAGTGGGAAGCACATATGCAAACTGTTGTAATTCCTAGAGCATTCACCTGCTTTGGATGTAAATACCCTCTAATAAAGCTGACAGTTTGCAGTAAAAGCACATCTTGTTCGTTTCATTTCAAATCCATTGTGTTGGTGTAAAGAGCAAAAATTGTTAGAACCCTGTCGATGTCCAAATATATGGACCTAATTGTATATATACATATTTGCTCACTCACGCTTGACACTTTATCCGCATCTGCTTACTGCATAGGCTGCAAAACAATTTTCCTCCACATTCATGTAATGTTAGGACTGTGAGGGAGCAGGTGAGACGTCATTTTTCAAAAGACACTCAAATACATCACGTGCGCTGTGTATGCAACGTCTAGAAGTCACGTAAAGCAAATAATTGCAAACTGAAAGAAATAAAATTTTATTATATGTTTTAGAATTGTATGTTTTATGAGATTATTTACTTTTTTTGCAATTATTTTCCGTTTAAATTAAGAATTTTTCTTAAAATAAGAACTTTTTGTTGATTTTGCATTGTATTCAGTAATTGCAAAAATTGCAAAAAATTCAGGGGTCTGCCAGAAGGTCGCTGGTTCGAGCCTCGGCTGGGTCATTTGGCGTTTCTGTGTGGAGTTTGCATGTTCTCCCTGTGTTCGCGTGGGTTTTCTCCGGGTGCTCCGGTGAATCCTCTGGGTTTCCCAGTGAATGCTGTAGGAATTACAACAGTTTGAATATGTGCCTCGCACTTGTTAAGGGACCAAAATTAATTGGAAAGAATGAAAATCAAAAATCAAACCTTCTCTTTTTAATATCAATTTTAATTTAAGCCTAATTTTTCTGCAAATTTTTGGGAATTATCACCACAAAATTAATATTTTTAAAAAATCACACACACACGCACACACACACACACACACACACACACACACAAATACACACACACACACACACACACACACACACACACACAAAAACTTGCCAGTAATACAATAAAGTTCATAGCAATTTTTTATAGTGTGGAAAAAGAGCTCACAGCCAGGGTGAACTCAGCACTGCATGATCACACAAAGACAAGATGAAAGAGCTTCAGTAAACCCAGAAGAATATTCTAGATAGAAGTGACAGAAGCTTGACATAACTAGACTTGCACAGCATAATAAAGTACCTTCAAAAAACTTTGAACAGCAGTGTGCTTTTATAAAAGAAAAAAATCACTATTTTTCTTTAGAAATGATTGACTCATTTAAACTACCCTCACTATATAAAAGCCAATGTAATGTTATCATGGTTTATTACCTGGTGCGATGAACCAACAGTAAAACTTCTCTGTTTTGCTTTGATCCACAGTTTGAGGGCTCTAGGCTACAGAGGGAGATGAAGGCTTACATAGCAGCTGTTAAAGGTAAATCGTTGTAAAATCCACTATGCATACACACATGCTAGTACATACACGTGCCTGCTCTAGTCCACACTGAACTGTTTTGTTTTTCTGTTTTAATTGCAGGGATGCAGCAAGCCTCTATGAACCTGACAGAGTCCTTACATGAAGTATATGAGCCTGACTGGCACGGCAAGGATGATGTCATGACCATTGGAAAGGTAGCCAGAATTGCAGTGTTTTGTCTATAGCGCTTAATAACATGCATTTATACAGCAGGGGAAACAGAACACTGTCAATATTATAAAAAAGACATTTGTCTACTTCAGTAAGAGGTTAGTTGAGTTAAGAAGATGAGGGACATCATATAAATGACAAATGAAAAATGCTGAGTAATTGCATATGTAACACCACATCAAAAGAGCTTCTGAAAGATCAAGGATACGTGCTGATTTCTATTCACTGGTTTATATGCTTAAGGCAAGGCAAGTTTATTTATAGCACATTCCATACTCAATAGTAATTTAAAGTGTTTTACATAAACAAGAATAAAAGAAACAAGAAAGCAACAAAGAATAAAAATGATTCAAAACAGATTAAGATGTGTTAAAACAGGTTTTAAAGGAATGGAAAAAAAGAAAGACATGATAGTGTGATCTGTTGCTTGTAGTGCACTGCTCATTCAGTAAAGGAACTGCTAAACAGATGTGTTTTCAGTCTTGATTTTAATATGCCTAATGTTGAAGCACATCTGATCATTTCTGAAAGCTGATTCCAGCAGTGAGCGTAGTAGCTGAAGGCCAATTTACCCTGTTTTGACTGAACTCTTGGAATTTCTAATTTACCTGATTCTAATGATCTGAGCGATCTGTTAGGTTTGTATTCAGTGAGTGAACATATCTGTAATGTTTTGAGGTCCTAGGCCATTTAGTGATTTACAGACAAGTTGTAATACTTTAAAATCTATTCTGAATCTATTCTTAAGATCTGTCGGAAAAAATGAGTGAAAATTAAGCAAATGACCTTTGGCATTGTGTTCATTTGAAGATTGACATCTTCCTACTAAAGAATGCTCTGGGCTCTGTTTCCCAAAAGCATTGTAAGCCTAAGTACATCATAAAAAATTATCGCTTAACTGATATTGTTAAGTCCGGTGTCTCAAAAGCATTGTAACGTAACTAGCACTTGAAAATAAGTCAGTATGTACAGTACAAGTCCTGGAGTAATCATTAAAACACTACAGGAATTGAGAGAACACAGAGTTATGAGGTCACCTGCAGATAATTTAAAGATGATTTAATACTTTTCAAGTGAAGTGTGATTACATTCAAGATTTTGATACTTCATTGGATACTTTAATAGTCTTTTTATTGAATTTATAAATTAAATCATTAGAAATTAATGAAAAATTAGATAAATACATATCTGTATCAAAATTAATAAAAGAAGTAATGTAGGAAATATGATTCAAAGACCATGAAATGAAGGTATAAGCGCAAAAAATTCTGTTGATGACTTGCTGACATGCTGGAATAATAACATCCACGTATTGGCCATTTTTTAGGCAAGTTTTTTCTTCAGCCATTTCAGGTGCTAATCTTGACTGTCATTCCACAGCAGAGTCCACATAAGGTTACATTTCAGCACTTTGCAAATGGACAGCGACTCTTAAATAGCATGTAGATCTTGCATGTTCATGTCACATGCATTTTGAGAAACATAGATGGAATTGCGACATAACTTCGAGCGCTTAGAACAACACAACATGGAGAGCGCTCTTAAGAGCTAAGATACATTGTTTTCAGGAAGCACAGCACTGATCAGTTCTGGAGTTTAAGAAGTTGCAGGAGTTTTTACAATCCCTCACAACAGGGAAGGATTTGTCCTCAGTATCAGAGGCAAATCTAAAAATGCTGCACCTTTTGAAAATGGGGTCAAGTCACTGAGCCATTAAGGTCTATTATGCCGCCGATGCCTGTGCATTTCACAGGCGATTTATCATTAGATTCAGAAGGGGTCACGTCTGCTGGTCATATTAATCCTCGGGCTGTTTAAATTCCTGTACAGCAATATATAATAGCTGGCATTACCATAGATATGTCTATAACTGTTATTCAGAGAAAAGAGATGGGTGTTGTGACCTGTTTTGCTATTAAATAGAAACCACAGAATGTTTCATTTAATATATTTATTGGATTTTATTTCTTTTTACTTAAAAAACAGCATATATGTAAACTCATTCTGATATTCTAAGATCAATATTCTAATACTATTTTAGCTATATAATAATGATATTAATATTGACAATGAAATAATACATTATTTTATTTTATTCTAAATGTGCTATATTATTCATTTTCTTGTCGGCTTAGTCCCTTTATTAATCCAGGGTCGCCACAGCGGAATGAACCGCCAACTTATCCAGCAAGTTTTTATGCAGCGGATGCCCTTCCAGCCGCAACCCATCTCTGGGAAATGTGTTATATTATAGGCAACAAATTTTAAATAATTTTAATATGTTTTAATTTTGCTGTTTTTATTTTTTAATACATTTAATTTAACCAAAAAAAATAGTTCTGTCAAAGTAATACAAAAAAAAAGATTTACCCATCTCAAATTTTGAAAAGTGTGTATATAGTATAAATTGTGTGTATATAGTGTACAATTAACCTAGTTAAGCCATTAAATAGCACTTGAATACTAGTATCTTGCAAAAAAAAACTATTTAATAATTTATCATTGTAATGTAATGTGCGTTCATATAGCTTATTTATTGTGTATGGCCATACACCCAAAGCACTTCACAATAATGAGAGGGTTCTCTCCACATCACCACCAGTGTGCAGCATCCACTTAAATGATGTAACGGCAGCCCCAGGACAACAGTGCCAGTGCGCTCACCACACACCAGGTGGAGAGACAGTGATAGAGTCAATTCAGTGGATGGAGATGATTGGGAGGCCAATCAGGCCATAAAGGTTAAGGGCCAATGGAAGGGGTATGGCCAGGACACCGGGGTTACACCCCTACTTTTTACGAGATGTGCCATGAGATTTTTAATGACCGCAGAGAGGCAGGCCTTCGATTTAACATCTCATCCAAAAGACAGCACCCACTGACAGCATGGTGTCACCTTCACTTTAACTGGGGTATTAGGGCTTATACAGATCACAGGTTGAGTGCCCCCTACTGGCCTCACTAAAACCACTTCCAACAACAACCAAGTTTTCCAATGTGGTCTCCCATTCAGGTACTGACCAGGGTCAGCCCTGCTTAGCTTCAGTGAGTAATCAGTCTTCGGCTGCAGGGTGATATGGCTGAGGCAATAATATTATTAACAATTATCAGGGCAAAGACAGATGAAAAGAGTTGTTAGATATTAAAGAAATTAGATCTTTAAACTATTTTTTAAAAATGTTTAAAAATGTGTTGGAAAATCTGTATGTGTGTGTGTATATAAAGCTGTTTAACATTTAATAACACCTTTTTAACAGAAGAGAATGTTACATATGGACAGCTTTTATCTTGACAGTGATCGTAAGTTCATCTGTCAAACTGATGATTTCAGTAAACAAGAAAAAAAAAATAAATCAAACCTCCCATCTGTAAACACAGATGATGTGGTTTGAGGGAGTGAGTTATTAATAGTGGATAATGGCATATGTCATTTGTAGTATGAGAGTGAGGCTGTGACTCAACACTGTCCTCAGAGGGTTTCAATTTAATTTACCCAAGGACGCTCGTTTTTGTTTACTCGCACCTCACCGAGGGGGCAGAGCGATGATTTCAGCTTCCTGAGTCTGATTCGCATCCTCTGTAAATGAGTAAGGGCATAATTAGATTTTAATTTCCCTACTGGTGAATCATAAATCCAACACCTAAACTCATCTGTTAATGTTGCAGGAGCCGCAGAATAACATTTAAGCCAAGACACTGTGGGTGAATAGGGTTTAAATATTAATAGTCACCTTTATACTTGCCCAGTTGATTGATTTAAGAGTCACAAACATTTTATGTATCACAACTGTTCTAAAATGTTATATTTAACTATGCAAATGAGGTACTATTTAATGAAATATCGACATTTCTGAAAATGAAAAAAAAAGCTAAACATTATTTGAAGTCACGTTCAAAATTCTTCTCTTTTGCTTTTTTGTGCATGTTTTGAGTATTTCTTTGTAAAACACTTATTTTAAAAAAAGAAATGTAAATATTTTTGTGGAATAAAATGTGCACTTACTGGCCACTTTATTAGGTACAACAGGTCCAACTTGTTGTTAACGCAAGTTTCTGATCAGTCAATTACATGGCAGCAACTCAATGCATTTAGGCATGAAGACATGGTCAAGACAATCTGCTGCAGTTCAAACAGAGCATCAGAATGGAAAAGAAAGGTGATTTAAGTGACTTTGAAAGTGGCATGGTTGTTGGTGGCAGACGGGCTGGTCTTTGTATTTCAGAAATCTACTGGGATTTTCACGCACAACCATCTCTAGGGTTTACAGAGAATGGTCAGAAACAAAGAAATTATCTAGTGAGTGGCAGTTCTGTGTGTGCAAATGTCTTGTTCATGCCAGAGGTCAGAGGAGAATTGTCAGACTGGTCTGGGCTTATAGTAAGGCAACAGTAAGTCCTGTCTTGTATCAACGGTCCAGGCCGGTGGTGGTGGTGTAATGGTGTGGGAGAAATTTTTTGGCACACTTTGGGCCCATTAGCAGTAACTGATCATTGTGTCAACGCCACAGCATACCTGAGTAATGTTGTTAACCATGTTCATCCCTTTATGATCTTCTGATGGCTACCAACAGCAGGATAATGCGCCACGTCATAAAGCGTGAATCACCTTAGAGTGGTTTCTTGAACATAACAATGAGTTCACCGTACTCAAATGGCCTCCACAGTCTCCAGATCTCAATCCAATAGAGCACCTTTGGGATGTGGTGGAGATTTACATCATGGATGTGCAGCTGACAAATCTGCAGCAACTGCGTGATGCTATCATGTTAATATGGACCAAAATCTCTGAGGAATATTCCAGTAGCTTGTTAAATTTATGCCACTAAGGATTAAGGCAGTTGTGAAGGCAAAAGGGGGTCAGACCTGGTACTAATAAGGTGTACATAATAAAGTGGCTGGTAAGTGTGTATGTTTACTTATTTCAAACCTTTACTAGTTTCTTTCTTCTGTTGAAATCTAAAGATATTGTGAAGAAAGCTGGAAACCTGTAACCTGCATTTATTTTTCCTACTATGGAAGTCAATGATTACATGTTTTCAGCTTTCTTCAAAGTATCTTCTTCTGTGTTCAACAGCATAAAGAAACTCAAAGGTTTGGAACCAATTAAGGGTAAGCAAATAGTAAATTTTTATTTTGGGGAAAATGATGCCTTTAAAAGTGTATGTTGGATGTTTTCTTTAAACTGAAAAGCATCTTTATGAAAATCTCCAAATTTAGAAACTGACAGGTGCATGAAACAACAGTGTTTTGCGTGCAGTGTCTCTCCATAAAGCCTTGTGAAGTAGATTGTGTGTTAAAGCACTCACAATGAGGTGTGTTAATCCGGCTGATGTCTGTCCCGTCTCGTTTGCAGAACTGTGACGCTCTGTGGGAGGACTTCCATCAGAAACTGGTGGACTCTACCATCAACACGCTGGAAACATATCTGACTCAGTTCCCAGATCTCAAGGTGTCGTTCCACTCGTGAATTCATTTTAAATAATATATTCATATTTTCATGAGCTAAAGCATTTAGGCTGAAGCATGTGCCAGTGCTGTGAATAAGTCCATTGAGCTGAAGCATAACCATCGTAACCACAAGTGTTTTTCCCCCTCCAGGTGCGTGTGGCGAAGAGAAGCAGGAAGTTAATTGACTATGACAGTGCGCGGCACCATCTTGAGACTCTTCAGACTTCAACCATGAGGAATGAGAAGAGGATTGCAAAAGTAATTGAGTCTTTTTGCTTGTCCTGAACACTATGTGTAGTTGTGTACTACTTTTTTAACTGCTATCTTTGATTGAACCTGTGTCATATCTGTGTGCATGTAGGCTGAAGAGGACTTGAAAAAGGCCCAGAGGGTTTTTGATGATCTCAATGTTGGCCTGCAGGATGAGCTGCCCACACTTTGGGATAGGTGAGACATTTTAAGACCGGTTATTGCAATTTAAGGTTAAACACAGGGGCGTTTCTAGAGGGTGGCTAGTATCCCCGTCTCAATAACCTTGGTCACTCTTCAATATTTCATCAACTTCTACACTTGGAAGTGTGGATTAATGGAATAGTGACATTAAAGGGCCCATGAAACTAAAATAAAATGTTTTAGATTTTACTATTAGTTTTGTTCGTTTTTAGAATATCTATAAGCTAGCAAGAACCAAAACAGTGACGAAATTTGCTCTTAAAAGATATAAAATTGATATAAACATGTAAAGCTTCTAGTTTGTCATCTCTAGTATCTGGCATGCCTTGTCTACTTCAAGACGCTTTTGCTTTAAACACTATCTTTATGGATTTTAGTAGCTTTTAACCTGTACAACAAAAATCAAAACCAAACATACAAAATAATAATAATCATCATTAAAAATAAAACAATAAAAATAGAGAAAATGCAAATAATAAATAAAAATAATATTAAAAATATATAAACATATAAGTAAATGCATGTACTTACACATACAAGATAAAGGCACATCATATTACAACAACGATATATCAATAGCAGGTTATACAGAGAAAAGATTTGTGTCAGTTTCCTTCAGGAAACCTACAAAGGGATCCCAAATTTTGAAAAACTTTTCAGGTTTTCTCTTGACTATATAAGTTAATTTTTCTTAAGCCAAACAACAAGACAATTCCCACAACCATTGTCCAAAATGCAAGCTTTCTGTATTTTTCCAAAACCGAGCTATTGTAAGTTTTGCATATAATAAACAGGAAGTTAACAGTTTTTTTTATCTGAACTAGCAAAAGTGCTTGTAATAGAAAAAAATATATATAATACACAGGTTTGGACATTTTGGTATATCCTGCTTTAATGCTCCCAAAAATGTTCAACCAAAAGACACTTCCAAAAACAATGATATAGAGTTCATATCTCTTCATTACATTTTATGCATTGATCAGGAATGTTTGGATTCAGTTTGTGAAGTAATTCAGACACCTCACATTTGATGCGATTGTGATCAACCACTCTCACTGGCAGAGCTGTGGGAAAAGCTAAACGCTAATGGCTGTTTTTAAAAAAGGGAAGGGACTACACTATGCCCTGCCTTCTCTTCATGTTTAGGTTGAAATTACATCAAACATTGAATAAAAATGCACATTTCAAAACACAAGCCTAAACAACAAGCCCAAATATGCTTATAATAAGTGGACATGGCAACACTGCAAGCACACACAAGGTACAAGGAATCTGTTGTCCTTGCTTTAGTTCAAACTGCAAGACGGATTAAGCCAATGGTCTCAAACTCAACTCGTTGAGGGCCGCAGCTCTGCATAGTTTATCTCCAACCACCTCCAACTTATACCTGCTTAATAGTGTAAAGTAGTCTTGAACAACTTGATTAGTTGGTTCAGCTGTGTTTGATTATGGTTGGAGTAAAACATAGCAGAGCTGCGGCCCTCCAGGAATCCAGTTTGAGACCAATGCATTAAACACTTAAAAATGACGTTTGCTGTTAGACCAAACTACTTATTTAAAATTAGATGAAACAAACTCAATTATTGAGTTTTTTAGCGACAACTTAATTGTTTTATGTTCAATCCAGTTAAATTTGTAAAAAGTAATTTGTTCATAAATTCTTTCATGTTGTCCAAACACAAATTGTAAACAGTTAAACATCATAAGAAACATTTTGAATTTATGGTTAGTGAGGAATTGTATGGGGCAGCACAGTGGCTCAGTGGTTTGCACTGTTGCCTCAAAGTAAGAAGGTCACTGGTTCAAGTCCCAGCTGGGCCAGGAGGCGATTCTGTGTGGAGTTTGCATGTTCTCCCTGTGTTGTGGGTTTCCTCCAGGTGCTCCGGTTTCCCTCACAGTCCAAACACATATGCTATAAGTGAATTGAATAAACTAGATTTGCTGTAGTGTATGAGTGAGTGTGTGAATGTGAGAGTGTATGGGTGTTTTCCAGTGCTGGGTTGCAGCTGTAAAGGCATCCGCTGTGTAAAACATATGCTGGAATAGTGGCCAGTTCATTCTGCTGTGGTGACCTCCGAAATAGAGACTAAACTGAAGGAAAATTATTGAATGGGAGAAATTGTATGTTTTTTTAGGATGACACTTAAGTCACACTACATGGCTGAATTGCATAAGAATATAGTCTATAAGTGTATAATTTAGGATGCAACTGTTGTCATCTATATGCATTTGTTTTTTTTAAAGGCAAATCTTTTTTTTTTTTTTGTACATCATTGTCAGGTAAACATTCTCAAAGAGAGCTTAAGGTTTTCTCATTCTAATTTCTGATGCTAGTTGTACCTTTGTTTTCATATGTTTTGAACCCTTCATATAAAACATTATATGCAAGTCTAGCACAATAATACAACATCAATCTCTTATATAACCAAAGCTCTGCTGTATCATGCCCAGCATAATTATTGTACTCTCAGAGAGGTGTCAGTTATATTTAAAGCCTGGTGGCCTCACAATACAAGGCTCTGTCCGATAATATTGATCTCATTTGACCAAAGGCCTTTCTGCAATGTACATGTACATGCAGTGTTCCCGATTTATCCATTAGTTGCACAGCATGCTAGCTGTGAACACTCTCATGCCATGTCGTTTCTGCTGTTATGTGTTGTAGAAGAGGTAAGGTGCTGATTTCTCTATATTTTAATAATGGAACATAATATACTGCAAGTTAAAAGCCAAGTAAAAAAGAAAATAGGGCACATTTATCAAATGTAACATCATGTGATTGAACGTTTTTTGTTTTTTGTGCACTATAGCAACTATAGCAAGAGATTGTCCGACTTTAGCTAATCTGGATTTCTCTGCGTTTGTAAACTGTGTGGGCTGAAAGGAATGTGTCCTTTTGTGCATTTTCGATGTAAGCTGCATCTACACTGCAGATCTTGATGGTCAATTCCGATTTTGTGACAGTATCCAATGTTTTTGCTGACCGGCTTACATCATCTTTTAAAAGGAACTCATTTCCAATTGTCTGCATTAACACAGCACACGGCAAAGGCACAATGACCAGTGAAAAAAAAGAGCTGGCGCTGACTGACAGACGATAATAAAAGATGGCTTTTTTCTCCATTCCTGATTTCAATGTGTTCACAGGGAGTACATTTTTTTTATTCTTTTGGTTTATATTCTTATAGTTGTTTAACTATAGTTTACTACAGAAAAGTTCTTTTAATCTAGCCATTTTTAAACTAGTAGGCATCTTAATGTAATGCCCATGGCTTAATTTATGCACGTGATGTATGACAGTTTTAATAGTCATAATAGTTTTAATGCTTACGTGGTGGACGTTGCGTGCACTCTTCCTCTCTCTCTCGTTAACATGCTTAAATACTTGTGCTACATGTAAATATAAAAGTCCTGTAAATTTTTTAGTCCTCAAGTACGAGATTTAAGGTTTGTGAAGTAGTCTGTTTTGAAATGAAAGGGTCAGAGATGACGTCATTCGCTAGTTTTTAATGTTTGACTCGCATTGACAGGTGAAAATCTGATCTACCTGCTTACACTGTAGACACTGATTCATATCAGATAAATTTCCACATATGAACAAGGCCTAAATCTGATTTAAGTAAATTTAAATTTTTTTCCAAACGTACATGAGCTAAATCCGATCTGTGCCACATAAGAGAAAAAAAATCTGAATCGAGTCACTTGATCCATGGAGTGTAAATACAGCTGTAATGTGTTGGAAATGTACAACATTTGTGTGGATAACAGCAGGACTGCTGCGATAAATGTAATAACCCACCATAAATAGCTGTTTACACAACAGGAATAATCCTTTTTTCAAAATGATCAGAATGCAAGTGTCTAGAATTAGTCATCAGTTCATTTAAAGCACATTTTCTTTTGTCGTAAAGAACCATAAAGAGGTGCAACAGATAAAAGTGATTTTAAATACATAAATGAAAGTGAATTAAATATTATGTTAATGTTTCAAAAATATATATTACTTATTATAATATATATATATATATATATATATATATATATATATATATATATATATATATATATATATATTAATATATTAATTATTATAATAAATATCATTTTTGGGGGAACTATACCTTTAGCTAACTTTATTGATATTCTGAGTGTTGATTGATTGTGATTGTATGTAGTAATGTGTGTTTAGGTTGTGGTGAATATGCTGTGGTAAGCAGTGTGTTGTTTTGAGCTGAGAGGGTCTGTCTGCTCACTGGAGCAACAGTCTGGTTATATAATCCATCCAATCGGCAGCTTCCTCTCTGCACCAGCCCTGCAGCCACGCTCATTTCAGTACAGGCCAGAGAGAAATGGGGCTGAGATACATTTATAACTGTCGCAGACGTCACTATATATTATTTAGAATTTCAGGGTTCTTTTCAAGTGTAACTTTGAGTGGTGACTTACATGTTTGAATTTTAATGTGGTGGTTTATTAAGGATTACAATGTCTTTAAATGAATAGTTCAGCCCAAAATGATGATTTATTCCCCATTTACTCACCCTTAAGTGGTTTCAAAACTTTTCATAAGTGCTCAAATAGTTTTAAAGGTTTCTTTTTTGTACTAAACATTAGTACAGTTGAAGTCAGAATTATTAGCCCCCCTTTGATTTTTGTTTTACTTTTAATTATTTCTTAAATGATGTTTAACAGAGCAAGGATATTTTCACAGTATGTCTGATAATATTTTTTCTTCTGGAAAAAGACTGATTTGTTTTATTTCTGGAAGAATAAAAAGTTTTTAATTATTTAAATAAACATTTTCAGGTGAAAATTATTAGCCCCTTTAAGCTATTTTTTTACGCTAGTCTACAAAATAAACCTCCATATACAAAGAATTGCCTAATTACCCTAACCTGCCTAGTTAACCTAATTAACTTAGTTAAGCCTTTAAATGTTCCTTTGAGCTGTTTAGAAGTGTATTGAAAAATATCTAGTCAAATATTATGTACTGTCATCATGGCAAAGATAAAATAAACCAGTTATTTGAAAAGAGTTGTTAAAACTGTTATGTTTTAGAAATGTGTTGAAAAAATCTCTCCGTATAACAGAAATAGGGGGGACAATAAACAGGGGGGCTAATAATTCAGGGGGACTAATAACTGTATTTTAAAGAAAGACAGAAATCGGTCACCATTGACTACACGCTTTTGTGTTTAACAGAAGAAGGAAGCTCAAACAGGTTTCTTACAAGTGAAGAGTGAGTAAATGATGACAGAATTCTCAGTTTTTGACTGAACTCCCCCTTTAATGTAATGCTGAGAAAATGATGTTTAAAGAGATAGTTCACCCCTAAAATTCTGCTATCATTTACTCACTTAATGTCTTTTGTCTCCAATAGAAGGAAGAAACCAAAATAGGTTTCGACCAAATGAATGGTGGGTAAATCATCACAGAATTTTCATTTTGGGTGAACAATCTATTTAGGGTTCAGACAAGTTTGTGTTAGTGCATTACATTTTCCTTTACATGTGCTTTCCTGTTTTTTTTTTCTCACAGATTTTCATAAGAAACATTTTCACAATCTAAACCTTGGGTTTTTTCTTTTTAAACCCTGCTTTTAGCCCCTGGCTTAAGAACATTTTACACTTTCAATTTTATAAGTGTGGTTAGCACTATGTTTTACCCACTGCTCCACTGAAAATATGTCAGTTGGTATTAAGAAGAGGCTTTTTTGTTACAACCTTTATAACATGATAAGTCAGTTAAGAAAGGTAGCAGTTTATAATATAGGCAATATATATTATGAGGATATACATTGTTATTTATGTGAACAGGTCACATACTGTAATTGTCCAATCAATGGCACTGGCATTACAAATATGCAAATAAGCATGTTAACCCAGTGATTACTCATTTACTTAAAAATTCTCTAAGATCTTTTTTAAAGAGAAAAACATTTTTTTAGATTCTCCAGATGCTTGTTCAACACATTGCGCACTTGTTGGATGCTGAAGCCTAATCATTATTCCTCTCCTTTCCTCTTTGCAGTCGGGTGGGGTTTTATGTGAGCACCTTCAAGAACGTCTCCAGCCTGGAAGCCCGATTCCACAGGGAGATCTCTTTTGTAAGTTGGTTTAATTTCTAATGCTAAGGTCAAATTGTAAAATATAAGCCTGATTTGCCACATTCCCATGATGTCCCATGGTGATTTATAAACTACACTGGGATGCAAGAATTAATCATTTAATCGACATGACAATTGGCTTACTAACTTATAGCATTTGTGATGTTTTATTACATTTATTCATTCTCTTTTAAACATGGCTTTCAAACATGCCAAATTAAAAGACAAATGGTGGTATTGGTGCTGCTAAAGGTGGAATTATACATATGTAAAAAAAACTTTTCTTTTAGTTGCTAGCTCCAATTTCTCAACAACTTAATGCATCTCTTTAAAGATGCACAATGATTGGTCAGAAAGATGTAGTCTCAAATGTTTTTGTCCATGAAATAACAAAAATTTAGAGGTTCACATCACATAATCTGACAATGACTATAGTTACAGATAGAAATGTTGCTGCATAAAGGTATAGAATCTGTTAAACATGATGTTTCTGTCACAAACAATAAAAAAACTGGGTGCTCAAGAAATACAAAGACAATGTTTTTCTTTGTGAGTCATAGTTCTTTCTAGTCGCATGAGTAACCCGGGATTGACATCCTCACTACAGTTCCTGCTGCATGAGGGCTTTATTAGAGCTGTCACAGGCTGCTGTTTTTTTCAAAGATGGTTTATGATAAAATTCACGTATTTATGGAGTCAGTTTAAGAGCTTTTTTTCTGATCCTGGCAGACAGTCAAAGAAAATTTCTCATGCCTTTTCTTGATCTCATTTTCGACTCAAGCTGTCCGTTGTGCCACAGCTAAAACTCATGAAAGATAGATATCTTTGTGTATTTGTATTTTAAAAATCGCTGAAGAGACACTGATAAGTCATTGAGGGATATTGAAGAGGCTTTTTAACTCTGTAACAAAGCAGAGCATATTTTGAAAATCAGATCACAACCCGAATGTGTAAATTAAACATATAGCTGCTCTGTGAAGTGTCTCACCCTTTAGATTAATGTAGGTGGAATACAGATATTCGTGATCCATGCAGTAAATATGCACATGTATTTTAGCAGATGTTCAGTGTGAGATTAAAAAAAACTTTCATTTTCTGAAATGAGATCACATTCAGTGTTTTGAAATGCATTAATTCTACTGTTAGAGAGACAAGTGAATGCTCGTGTTTTCTTTTAGATCCACACTTTCCATTTATCATTTAACAGTTTACTCGTCATTCTGAGTCCACGCTGAAGGTTGAACTGTTTCAACAGTGAACTCTACATGGTATATTGTGTTTATTATTAGACACAGCATGTGGCCGTCAGTGGACATCAGTGCATTGTTAAAGACTTATATTGCCAGAAGGGGCATACAGTACAGCTCGGCACTGAAGCTACTGCAAAGATCTGCTCTGTTTGTGCAAGCGTGACCAGCACTAAGGTCAATGCATCTCTGCAGTGACATGCTTTTCTTTTATAATTAATATTTTTGTATGAGTATGAACTATTTGTTTCCCTTCATTCTACATTCAAAACACATTGAAATCATTTGAGCATTAATTGTTTATGATGTGATTATGAATTAGAAATTTAAAAAATATTTTGATTTACATACTTTTTATTACCAATCACATGATAATGTTTAGGTTCATTAGGTTGACATTTTTAATGGTCATCAGAATCTTAAATCCTTGAACAATGTTAATATTTAGATCTAAAAATCAAAAACCTTTGTACATTTATATGTATTTACATTATGTATTTTTTCATCTTTGCATCAATTTACAAAAAAATTAATTACCTGTGAAGTGTTTCTATCGCAGTGTCTATGACCAAGACATTTCTTTACTATCTCACACAATTCGTTTCCTTTTTCTAAATGTCTTTATAATGCCATCGTGAAGTGTTTCTTTTATTATTCAGAAATAAGGATTGTAAAAAAAAATGATTTGTTGTACTCTGTGTGTGAACTGTGCTCTAAGTTTAGCCAACTATGATTGCTAGAAACCTGTAAATGTGAAAAGGGCCCATGAGCAATAGCACTACAATACCTAAATCTCTTTTTTCTCTATGTTTTGGATCTAGCTCTGTCATAAGCTGTATGAAGTAATGAATAAGCTCGCTGAACAACACTCAGACAAAATGTTCACGATTCAAGGAGCACCCAGGTAAGAAACCCCCATTAACCTCCATCCCCAGAAAGTACAGTGTACTGTATATTATAGTAGAACTGTTGGTTCTCTGTAGTAGATATACTGTAGGCCCAATCCCAATTTTACCTCTTAGCCCTTCCCTTTACCCCTCATTTTGCATGTTTACGTGAAGGGGTAGGGGTTTCACAATTTTCTTTTGCTTGAAGGGCTAAGGGGAAGGACTAGAAACCCCTTAAAACAAAGATTTTTCAGGACCACTCATTATTACGAATTAAACAACAAACAAGCATATTTTTAATACATTCATAAGGGCGTTCGTGTATTACCATCATGCATTAAAAAAAACAAACGCTAAAATAAAAAACGGAAAATTATTATAATCTATAATACCTAATAATAACTCCTCTACAGTAGTCTCACAACATTCTGTCACTCGATGACACTCGAAACCCCTGTCAGAAAAGTTTAGTGGCTGAGAATAAGCTTTTTACAGTGTCTGCTATAATGTTAATGTTGTTTTCGTGTGTTTACATAGATGGATATGGCCACTGTGTAAAAACACAGTACAGTTACGATCTTATTGCCACATTTTATCATTATAACAACATGATATATGCCTTCAGTGATTTCCTAAAGATAAATACCAAAAAGAAAGCAACTGGAATAACTACAGCAGTTGAAATCGTCAATCTCATGAAGTATGACATATTATGACGTATGTAGGCGTTGTAGTGCTGTCCCATTTCTTAGGAGTAAATTTTAAAGCCCTTCCACTTCGCACTCTGTTTCAAGGGCCAAGAGGAAGGGGATGGGGTAGGGGTACAAAAATAGAATTGTCATTGGGCCATAGATTGAAGAATCTTATTTTGTTTAATATGTTACAACCTTATTAAATAAAAAGAAAAAAAGTGTTTCCATAATTGTGCCTTCAAATGCTTACAATTAAACATTTGTATGGGCTCTGTTTGTGTTCTTCCTGATACAGAGAGAAACGGTAAGTGGAATAGCATTTAGACTATTGCGTAGGCATTAAAGTTTTACTTTCTCTTATGTGTTAAAAAGTTTAATATAAGATAACCAATTTAGTGAAAGAACACATTTGAGTTAGTAAATAACCTGTACAAAGTTGATTTGTACTGCAGAAGACCCCATAGCTGAACAGCACTGTGCTTGAGAAGATGATGATTGTGTTTAGTTTTGTAGATCTTGTTGGTGATTGGTGGTGTCAAAAGCCTTTAGTGGGCAGCTGTTTTGTTACTGTATTCAACTATTGCTTATTGGGATTTCAAAGCTTTGAATGTTCTACACTGTCCAATTTTCCTGAATTGCATCATAATGAAAATAAAATGATAAAGTAGCTAATAAGCTGATTGTGATAAATCCATTTATAAGTACTTTGACAAACTGCAGCAAAGTGAGACCAGTTCTTTAACAAGTTATATAGCAAAGGCTGAACAGGTTGTTCTCCATAAAAATCTCTATTAAGAATTCTGATTGTATGTGAATGAAAAAGGCAACAATACAGGATCCAAGATACAGTTGTGTTTTTTAATAGTTGCAGTTTTATTGTTTTGACAGCGACTCTGGGCCCCTACGATTAGCCAGGACTCCCTCCCCGCCTGACGATGAGAGTCCAGACAGCAGCCCAGCAGCCAGTCCTAACCACACACTGAGGCCCACATCTCCTGGCCCACCTCGACCCAAATCACCTTCACAGGTAGAACCTAACAATTCCAAAACACACAGCCCTCGTGATTGTCCAGGTTTCCTGCAACAATCAGGCTGAATTAATAAATAAATACTTTAAATTTGCAGTATATTCATGATGTGCAGTACAAATAAGACTTATAAGATAGGCTACAGATAAGGTTTTGAATTGTGAGGTCCAATGCTGCTTATGGTATCTCTTCATATCAGCTGAAGATGGGACCTCCAAAACCACCTCCTCCAAAAGTTACTCCAACCAGGGAGCTTCAACAAGAGCAGATAATCGATCTGTTCGATGGAGGATTCCCAGAGATCAGTGTTACATCACCACAGGTGAGTGAACATTGGCTGGAGTCCTCTGCTATTTCCAAAAACTTATAACCCAATGCCCTTATCAGGAATTTTACTAAAATTAAAAATTGGATCCATTTTATGTTCTTACTTAAGCCAAACGAGAGGCCCGGAGAATCTCTTCTGGACCTGGATTTTGATCCATTCAAGCCTGATACCAGTACACCTATTGGGCAGACCCAATCACCAGTATCTCAGGTCCTTCTGACCACCTTGTTTATCTATAATTTCTCTATTTTTAATTAACATGGAGTATTAATCAGTCAGTAAATAAGAAAAGTTTTTGTTTAAATTATGTTTTTTTTACACAGACACTACCTTGGGATCTTTGGACGGTGAGTCTGATATCAAAAGAAGTGGCCAGAATTTGAAATTATTTTTGAAATAATAATTTTGCACTGGCATGAAATGTGATGGTTATTCTCATGACAGACCTTGAATTACTCCAGTCAAGCTGACATCAAATAACTCTGATTTCATTTCTAGGGAGATGCTGCACAACCTGCACAGCCCGTAAGTAATGACTGATGAAAGTGTCTCAGTATGAATGAAGTGGAAATGTAATTAAAGTTCATGGCAGAATTAACCCCAGCTTTCAAGACTTTGGAAAATGGCAGATTACCTCATAAATGTTAATTTATTCATTACTGTTGCCAATTAAATCTGTCTGACATGTCATCCGTGTGACAGCATCTCAGTTAGCACATGTTCTTGTACTCTGTTCCTCAAATCAAAATATTAGTTTTTTCATTTTTGTTTCTGTGACAAATCTGTTTTCTGTTTTACCCCTTCTGTCTCATGACCCCCACTCCCTGTTGGCCCCCATCTTGTTGAGAAAACTTGTTTGAATAGTAAACAGGTTTTACCTTTCTTTCCTCATCAGGCTACAGATGCTGGCTTCACTGCCAACTGGGCAGCTGACTTTGGCTCTTCTGCCACTACGGTTACAGATGAATCTGCAAATACTCAACCTGCAGCGGATGGGCAGGGCTGGCCACCTGCTGATGGTTGGCCTACAGATTCAACACCACAGCCTCAAGGAGAGACGGCCACAGATGAGGTTAGAGCCTGGGATACGGAAAATTATCCTGAGCCAAACCCAGACTGTGATCCCTGTGCTGTGGGGGGTGGCGAGGCCGAACAACAGCATCCAGGACAGGGGCAGGAGGGTGTAGAGGAAGGGCAGACAGACTGGGCAACAAATCAAGTGGAATGGGCAGAAGAAAAGACAGGTTTCGTGTCAGAGGAGGGAGGGGCAGAGGAGACAGTAGGCTTACAAGCAATGCCTGGAATCATTTTCACCAATGAGTTTGGTCAGGAAATTCAGGATCCCATGGAGGGTGCAGGGGCAGATAGTTCCAGATGGGGCCTATCTAGCCAGGTTGATCTAGATGGATCCGGGTCAGAGTACGAGACTGCTGAAGAATGGGGTGATGTTCCAGGACAAAATGGTGGGTGGGTCAGTGCAGATGATGAGCTTGAATCTACTGAGAATGAGAATGCTGTTGTGGCACCAGAACAAAGTTCTGTGGCCCAAGTGGGCTTTGCAGACTGGGGAAGAGCTGATGGTGTCGGTGTCCCCGAGCAGATTACCCCCGCTGACTCTGGATTTGGCGGTGATGCATTTGCAGCCAACTGGGATCAGCCTGAAGCAGCGCCATGTGGCTCAGAGTTTGAAAAAAGCCCAGGCGAGCTGCTTGCAGACCCAGCTGAAACAGGAGCAGATATGCCTCAAAACATTATTGAATCTGCTCTGAGTTTAGACCCTTTTGGCACCGAAAGTAATGATCCATTTGGTACAGGAGATGATCCTTTTGCCACATCAGGGGATGACCCATTCGGCACTGGTAATGATCCATTTGCCACCTCAGATCAAGATCCAAGTGGCTTTTCTGGGAGTGATCCTTTTGCTACAAGTGGCAGTGAACTTTTCGGTACAGAAGAGTTACCAACAGAGAATGTGAAAACTGGGTTTGATACTGATCCGTTTGCTGAGAGCCAGCCAGAAGGCGAAGGACAGTGGTCAACAGACCCCTTTGCAGCTGGATTCACATCAGACCCTTTTGCTACTGAGGGTGATCAAGACCCATTTGCTAATGAGATCACATCTAATCCTTTTGACAATGAAAGTGGCAGGGATCCATTTAACAACGAGAATGTCCAGGAGTGGGCAAAGGGTTTTGACTCCACTGGGACAAAGGAGACTGGTGGTGATGAAAAAGACTCTGGTGTGTTTGATGACAACACTGGACAAGGCAATGGGTTTGCTCAGTGGGCAGCCTTTCCTCCACCAGCTGCAGATTCCGAGAGCTCCAGTAAAGGCTCCTGGCAGGAGGTGAGCGATAGCAGTGGCTTCTTCTCTTCTGATGGCCAAGGAAACTTCACAGCAGGCTGGCCAGGTGAGGCTGTTCCACCTCAAGAGCCCATTGCCTCCTTCCCTGGGCCACAAGGCAGCTCTAATCCAAAAAGTACTGTTGCAGAGGACCGGGTTATTCACAAAGAGCCAGAAAACTCAGACCTGTCTGAAGATGAAGTCGCAAATCGAAGATACGGAAAGTTATACCAAGAAATAGATACCGAACTGGAAGAGGTACCTGATTCCTGCCACTGTTAGCTTAGTATAGAGTAGACTACAGCGAGAATACTTCCCTCTTTTCCTGCCTGCAGATGAAGTACCACTTTCCTGCTACAAAACCCTTCGGACCCAGGAACCCTTCCCACTGTCCACAGCCCCAAGACCTGTTCTCCTCTCTCTCCTTTGCTTGCTTTGTTTGTTAATTCTGCTAATTAAGTACAACTTAGTTTTCCGACTTAGTCTGTGCAATTAAAATACATGTCTTTAAGGGTTTAAATACTAATTGCTTATTTAATTCGGTTTAGGTTTCCAACAAGACTTTTAATGGATTTCCTAAGGTAAATGAGAGGTTAGAATGGTGCTCTTTGCAGTAGATTAGAAGAGAAGTCATAATGAAAATATGAATCACTGTCAATGTGGCCTAAGTGACTGTGCTAGGCTAAAATAGTAGAATTTTAGCGAAGCTTTTAGTTTTTAGAGATGCTGTAATATTTGTGGATTTTTTAAATTTCTTTTAATGTATTTAATCTTTTTTTTTTAAATACATTTGCTTGATGTAGAGTCTGTAAAATCAAAATGGGTGGTTTTATCACCAGTCATTGTCATTATATCTCTTAGTTTATTTAAAAAATATCTTAAAGCAAAAGATAAAATAATACTGGATCTAAACAAAAATCACCCCCCCAAGTAGTTGGTCCATTTTAAGAAATATGTATAAATATAGAAATACAGGATATTTCTAACTTATTTCTGATGTTACCATATTTTATCACAGTTTTTCTTTTTACCATTTTTTCAATGAATACGCAGAATCGTGTGGTAAAAATAACAGTGGTTCTGCTTTAATAAGTCTACTGTTGTTTTTATTTTTAATGCTGTGATGACCCCTACTAATTCCTTTTCCTTGAAAGATCTGATAAAATATTTCTCACAAAAACGATTTTAGAACAAAACAACCCTGTCTAACTTAGCTGGTTATATTTCTGATTTCATGTGAGTAATGTGCTTATTTCTATCCTTTTATTCTCTGTTATTTTTAGGATGCAACAGTCCCAACATTTATGGCTGACTTTGATAAGATGGTGAGTGGATTTATTTTAACTGTTAATGCTTTGCACCATCCCTGAAATAACTCCTCATAATTAGTTGCTGTCAGTGGGTATGATGTATAGATGTTTCTCGTAATATAATTTTGTTGTGCGCAATCTGTTCTGTTTTGTTGGGAAATATTTTCAAATGCATTTTATCATGTCTCCAATGATTGTTGTGCCTCAAATTGTGATTGTACAACATATACTCATATGTCATTGCTTGTTTCAAATGTTAGATAACTGCTGGGTCTAATCTGAAAGTGAATGTGGTTTTAAACTTAGTGGATTAGACACTAGTCCAGAGGTAAGGGTATCATTTGGCAGTCTTCTGATTGTGTCCTTGTAAATGTACATAAAGCCTGAAGCCGAGGCTGAGGCCCCAGAGGGTGATGTAGCTGAAGGAGAAGGTGAAGCATCTCCAGCCTCAGAACCTGAGGGTGGAGAGGGTCCTGTCACCACTCCTCCAACAGACACACAACCTGAGGAGATAACAGCTTCAAGCCCTCCCGCTGAAACGCCCACTGTGAGTGACGAAGCGTAAAAATCTAACCATCATCAAAAACATTGTCACCACCTCCTCCATCATCAGCACCATTGTCATCATTTTTGTTATGTTCATCAATGTTTTTTATCATTACTGTTATTATTTTCATCACATCATCCTCATCATCATCATCATCACGGTCATCATCATCTTTATTTGCATTGGCTTGTTGATGCTTTTCATCACATTGTCAGTATTTTAAGCATCTTCATCGTTATCTTCTTCTTCATCATCATCATCCTCATCATCCATCATGTTATTGCCATTGTTGACATAATGTTATACGATCATTACGTTTTTGCCTACACATTTCACTCACACCAAACCGATCAGAAATGAACAATAGCCACTGATCATATTTGTGTACTGTTGTTTATAAAGAGCACTGTGGAGTCTCCAGTGTCTGCTGAGCCTGAAGCAGCTGAGCAGGCTGAGGTATGTGCCTTAAACCACTAAATTTGGAATTAAAACTGTGCCAGCATGGTGGCCATCAAACATATTTAGTTTGAAAAGGGAGATTGTCTATATTAAGCTCTTTTGTAATTCTGAATGTCTTTTATTTTGTTAAAATAGCATACTTTGTGTTTTTCTCCTGTTTTATTTTCAGTATTAGTTTTTTTATTTCACATTGGCTTAATTATGTTGTCATAAACACAGTGGATCTTTAAAAATACACTGCATTTACATGAGTAGTTAGTAGTACATCAATAGTTTTTACAAAGAATTAGGTTGAGCCTGAGAATTGTATTGTTGATGAAAAAGTCTCAACCATTCTTTAGCTCCCAGTTGAGGACATAGAAAAGGAGCAACTCAGTGAAGAATCCCCGGTAACTATAACTTATGTCTAATGAATGGCATAGGAGAAACTCAAGTCATATGCAGCACTGTCGCATATGTGCTTGCTTTCGTACTGTATCTAGCAAATTTTCTGTAGAAACAGCCATTTGGCTTTAGCAACGTGTGAAAATGAATTATGTATGAGATGCAAGATATTATAGGCGAACAGGTGGTGTTATTTGGAAGTATATACATGTTACAGGAATTGCAGATAGCTTGAATGATTTTTATTTGCATGTAGGACTCTGTTCCAGTCCAAGAAACAGAAAAGGAGTCACCTACAGAGGCGGCTCTGGTAATTTCACTTCTATAATCATTGCATAATAATCATGAAATGGGTATTGTTACCACATTTCTGCAGCTAAACATGTATAATAAAGCTTCATTCAGATGTTCATCCAGGCTCTGATATGGAAGAGTAGTAACGGTTATGAAGAGAATCCAGACACTCATTCATTTAGCATGTGTCATTGTCAATTTGAATATATGAGTGTGTAATGATGCTGACTACTACATTTCTTTTTGCATAGGCTTCTGTTGAAGATAAAGAGTCTCCCATTGAAGAGACTCCGGTAATTGTTTAAGTCTTAATAGATCAAATCACTTTTTTTAATGTTATGTTTTTGTTTCATGCAGTAATTTTAATGTTGCTGTCAAAATATTTAATGTATTTTTGTTTTGTCTTATGAAGCCATATGTAATTGCATTTAAAAGTCCCCTTGAACCGGAAACTGCGATCGTTATTCTTTTTGTATTGTGATGCAGTTCCTAGAAAAACTGAATTTTAAATGAGGAAAACAGTGGGCGTGGCTTGTTTTTTTCTACAGCAGGCTAAATGAATGTAGTAAAGTAGGCATTTCACTCAGAAAGATCGAGAAAGGCGATTTAGAAGAGTTATTAGGACCGAACAAACTCCTCCTGCTAATTATTCCTGTTTATTGTCAAAACTGACAGTTGGAGCAGTGTTAGCCACGCCCATTACCTCAAAATCAGGTGATCTGATCGTTTAACTGAAAACAAACAGAAAGTGAATTTCCAGATTTCAAATAAAGATTACAAGGGCAAACATTTTGTTTGTCTTAAATGGCATGCACAGATGAATTGTTCATGACAAAACTGGTAATGTGAGCTAACAAAATCACATGGCTAGTTTTGATTTCCTGGGGACATTAACTATTTTATTTATTCAGTCTCTGAAATTGTCAAATTTGAATAGCAAATCAAGTTCTTTATTAATTTGCATTGAAAATACACTGTAACCTAATTATTTTATACATTTTAAAATTACCATCTGGCTTTATATGAAACTTGGTGTGGTTGGCAAACTGTTGCACTGGAACAGGATGGTAGCCATACTAGTTTATGTTTTGTTTGTTATTATTTGTTGTTGCTTTTTTAACCATATATGTTGATGGATGGAGACTTCTAATAAGCACTGTGACATTAATCAAAACCTCTAACTCATCTTTTTGTGTATATGTATTATTTAACGTTATTGAGGGTACAATCAGTAGGTGCATCATCTGGCAGCACTAGGCATGGGCTGGTATAAGATTCTGACAGTATGATAACCTTGGATAAAAATATCACAGTCTCACGGTATTGTAATTACTGCTTCAAAATATATCATTTTTAAATGTCTGGGTAAAAAACAAAAAGCTTTTTTACCTTTTGAACACAATATATTTTATTTTGAGAAACATTTAAAATATTTTGTAGCAGTAAACATGTCTGGCTAAATGAATTATTGAATTTTGCAGTCTTCATTTGTTTCAAAAACAGATTTTTTTTACAATTTAAAATGACATCTTTTCTGCTGGAGATACTATTATCCTAAAAAACAACAATAAAAACAGTAAATAAAAAAAACTTACACATACCTTAGGAACGGTATTGCAGAAAATTTTGACGGTTATAAAACCTTGAGTTTTCCAAACCATGGTATACCTTGAAAACGGTTATTGTCAGCACAATAACAAACACCATCCAGCCCTGACAAAATAAAAAAAATCTCCAACACAAAGCTTTGTTTTTCTGATGCTGCCACTGTTTCTGCAATTACTGATCGCACCTTTATTGTTTAGTTTTCATTTTATGTTTTGTTCCCTGGTGTTTTCTGTTCAATTTGTTTTGAACCACATAAAGGTTGCACACTCTAAAGCCGATTAAACAGACATGATGTTACAATTCCCCTGCTTACTGAACTTTAAATAGTGACTTAACTGATGACTATTATTACCCATCTAATCACCGTTTTTGGTTTCCATGGTGACTCCATTCTTACATCACCATAATGGGCGGTGATTTTACATTCTCTCTTTGTATGCTTTATTAGTGACTAAGCGAGCGTCATTCTTGATGCAAAATCATTTATTGCAAAATTTGAATCTATTCTTTAAGTTAAACAGAGCTTTCTTCACATGTTTATTGGGATCATATAGTAGTCACTATGATCTGAGGAATGTTCACTCATGCTACTTCACCCACAAGGCAACCACTATGAATCATGACCCCTGATCCTTCATTAAACATTTCCCTCAACCAAAGTACTTGACTCTTGGTGAAACTCAAGTCAGTTTGTTTTTGAGAACTGACTTGCCATTCCACATGAGGGACGGTTTTAACACGTGAATTGAAACTGCTCCCTGCACCCCTCATTGTGACACTCTTGAGTGCTCCCCTCCGTGGTACCCTGCACCGATCCATCCATGAGTGGCTTGTGTTGAGTGTTCAAACACTGGCTCTCACTCCTGGCCACCTCTCCTAGACTATAGATGCCAAACCAGAGGAAGAGACCAGTTCATTAGAAGCCAGACCAGGAGATGAACCAGATAATGTTGAGCCCAAGCCAACAGATGAACCTGATAAGGTTGAGACCCAACCAGGAGAAGTTCCTGATAATATTGAGCCCAAACCAGGAGATGCTCCTGATAATGTTGAGCCCCAGCCAGGGGATGAAACCAGTAAGGAGGGTGCTGCAAACAATGGGAATGAGGAGGTAGATATTCTCTTGTGATTCTGCACTTTGGTATGCAGGCCATTGACAAGAACCCGGTTTCTTTATGTAATCATAAGGCACACTGATACTTAGAATTGTAAACAAAATGCTTTACAACAAATCTGTTTTGCTTGGTTTTTTATTTTGTAACTTGATACTGTATGTGAATTTTTTTTTTGGTTGTTTTTGTTATCACTTTACAAAAAAGGGCTCATTTGTCAGCCTAATTTAACACATTAAACTAGCACGAATAATCTATTTCACAGCATTTACTAATTGTTTTATGTTAGCTAATATAAATACAACTGTACTTTGTTCACACTGCATTAACTAAAGTCAACCAATATGTTAAATTCACAAATAATGAATGCTGGGCAAATATTTTACTTTAAATGCATCATCCTAACATGGCACCTTTAAAATGTAACCTTTGTTATGTTGTTTTTGTTTATTACATTATTTTTAGTATGTATTACGTTTGTATGTATAATTTGTTTAACATGTATTATGAAATAGTGTCAACTGTTAAGTTATTATTGGTCAAAAATGTATTTTTAAATCTTACCTTGAAGGTGTTGCTTGAGTTGCAAGTTGTGTGATGCTGTTTGTTTGCCTCACCTCAGGAGAAAATGCCTATCCCTTCTGTTGTTATTGAGCCTGCCTCTAGTAATGAGGGTGATGATGACCGTGATGGTGATATTACATCTCCAATTGCGACCGGTGACAATGGCATGATCGCAGATTGCCAGACAACCAAAGACAGCTCTGGAATGCCTCCTAGATTCCTTTTCAAGGTGAAAATAAAGACAACGTTACATTACATTACATTGCATTACATCATCCATTAATTCATTTTATTTCAGCTTAGTTTCTTTATTAATCTGGGGTCGTCACAGCGGAATGAACCGGCAACTTATCCAGCATGTTTTACGCAGCGGATGTCCTTCCAGCTTATTGCATTACATAATAAAAAAATACATGGCTAACTTTATGAGAAAGCCTTGTCTGAAAGGTAAAGTTGTTCAGAAAGTTTCCAAAATAGTTATCTCACCTTCAACATAAGGTGATTGTCACTTTTACAAAACATTATTGCAGTTAGAGATTATACACGTTTATTTTGCAATAATGAGCAACTGCGTGAACATTACATGGCTATTCTAAAAGAATATACTGTAGCCTACTGTAAAAATGGGCTGGAAATCAGTGTTAAGAAAAAAAAAAAAAACATGGCTAACATTTATGAAAAAACCCTTGCCTGAAAGTGTAACGTTAGTCTAAAAAGTGCATAAACTGGTTATCTTACCTTAAACAAAAGGTTGTTACCTCAATTTGACAGAACATTAGAACTAGCAACAAGACGAACACATTTTGAAGCAATATAAATTGTGCCAGCTGCATTTAAATCGCATTTTAGTTCAACGTGTATCTAGTAGTCATAGGAAACACGTGACCGCTAGATGGCGCTGTTGACGAATCAGAATCAAGTATTCCACACATCCACAGATGATCAGAGAAGACTAGTCAAATACAAACACACACACCGACTTTGTTTAAATTAATTTAAATGTTTATTTTATGTTATATTTCTTTATCTATACAAATATATACCGACATACATACTTTTTAATTGTAACTGGTTGGTACTGTCTAATGTGTTTTTCAGCCAGTAATGAACCCAGTGAAAGCTTTATGAGACTATTTTTATTTCATAAGTTTCCTTTTAAAGCATGGATGTTGTAATGTAACTCAAATACAAGCAGTTAAATAGACTTAAGCATACATTTGGTTGTTAAAGCGTAAAAGCGCAGGCGCTGTCATTAGCAGCAGACTAGCACAGAAATTCCATTCAAAATACTAGGGAAAAATTAACTTCCATATTTTCAAGACATGGCATGGGAAAAATATCATTTAATGCAGTGCTTCTTGTTTGGTCTGATGGCCACTTTATAGCTGATCTCAGCCAGGCAATGATGATCACTGTTTTTTAATGAAACCAGATAGTAAACGCAACAATTTTTTTATGCGATGACAATTAACCAGAAGCCCTGGAGCTGGCTGACTGAAATTAAAAGTCTACTTGTTTTAAGCTTAATGCTTTCCCAATATCGTCAGCACACTAATCACAATAAATCTCTTAAAATTATCTGTAATAGAGAAAAACAAACAGAGCTTTTATGTTTCTTGTTATGCTGTCTTGTAGGTTGAAACAATGCATGATTTTGAAGCGGCGAACCCAGATGAACTGGAGCTGAAGAAAGGAGACATAGTTTTGGTAGTACCAACAGAGCTAGCTGAAGATCAGGTATGATATCCCTCATTTCATTCTCTTTTATCAGCAGGACATCTGTGTTTTTGATGTTCATTTCACTCTTTCCTCAGGATGCCGGTTGGCTCACTGGCATCAGAGAGAGTGACTGGCAGCAGCGCGGCGCCTCGGCCAAGAAAGGACTGTTTCCTGAAAACTTCACACAGCGTCTGGAGTAAATGACCTCAGCGTGTTGCAAGAAGGCCGTGTGGATCTGGACATTTGCAGACAGAGCCACACAGCTTGATGTCTGATGTACTGATGACAGCTGTCAATCAGACTAGGCTCAGACCACTAGAGGAAATAACAATGGAAACAAGTGGAGACACAAATACCTACTCAGCGCATAAAGAAAATAACCAAGCATGACGTGATAGTATGGTCAACCTTTTCTCGCGAAACCAAGATTAAATCCTTTTTTTCGTTTACCTGTGAGCAGCAACGAATTGATGTGTGCTTTGTTGGAATTCTGGTGACCTCCACATGTAATCCCTGTCTGTTTAAAGAAGAACTAAAGTGAGCGTTTCCCCCTGAAGACTAAACCTTCTCCTCTCTGCACCAAGTGTATTGTACTGACTTTGTTGCTCTGCAGCGAATTTTATCAGAATTTGTAGTGATATGATCTATTTAACCATTCTAAGTGTTACACAAAAAAAAAAAAACTTAGGTGTTTTCTTTGAGATATTTCGGATATAAATGTGACATTGCATCATTGTTAGTGTTCTCTGTAGTTTCACGGCTGGCCGTGCGCGGCTATGGTGGTGGTATTTGGCATATATTTGATATTGACATATAGTTTATGGCCGAGAGTTTCAGTGTTTATGCCAAATTAATCAAAGTCCTCTTGGTGAATATGGATATGTGTTGCGTTTACAGCATGAGAAATGTTGTGAGAAGAAATCTGAATTATTGCACCAGGCTAATATAGCTTTGCAAAACACAACATGTAGCTCCCTATAATTATGTGTAATATATTCACAATGACATAAATGCAGAACCTATTCTTGAATGGACGTGGAAATGTTAATTTATGAATGATGTTTTATGTTTTGGAGAAATTGTATTTATTCAACTTTATATTTTTTCAGCCAATGACTAGTGGGAAAGTTCGGGGCGGGAAATCTAAAAAATATGCAATATATGTAACTGGTTGATAGAGTTATCATTGTCTTCATTGTTTGGTTCTGAGACAAAAAAAAAAGACAAAAAAACAGCATCACTCCTGTGTTCGTATTGTTAGCCTCACTGTAGAACATTTCTGTGATGTACATATCTGTGCTACTTTAACTGTAAAGTGAATAAAGAATAGTTCATACGACTTCTGGTTCATCTTCACAAATTAAAACAGTGTTTACATACTGGGAATAGTTCCACAAATCAAACTTCACTTAGTTTATAATCCCTGGTCAGAGTAGAGCGTTATGAGATCTGTTGATAGTGCAAGTTGCAATCTGAGCTGCATCCAATGCTTTTTAATGCGCTCGCCTAACCCCACACCTAACCCTAACCCCTCACAGCGACGTCAGTTGCATTGAGTCTGACAATGTATTGCTGAGATATGCAGTCTCAGCTTGCTTCATCAAGGCAGCAATGCATCCAGATAGTACTGTGCTCTTTGTAATTTAGTTTGTGATGACATCCATTAAACACAAGGGGGAGACATTTGTCTTGTTCATTTGTCTTTTATAAGTAAACTGCTGCATTAGCTATGTGTGTAGTTGCTTTTAGCTGTTTAAGTCAGTTTATCTGCACTGTTTTTACTTGAACAACTGCTTTTTTGTTATCTAACATTATGACTGATAAAGCTAAAACATCACCTGACACCTTATTATAAATTGTTTGCAAATTGTTTATTGCATTTGAAATGTGTATACTGTCTAAATATATTAAGTACTAGTATAGTCCAATAAATAATACATATTTAGCGAGAACCTAAAAACCACATTTTAGCATTTTTCATTTATTGTAGAAAGCCTTTTATTAAATAACTTAACTGAAAAAGAGTATACACTTGCTTTTTTTAAATGTATTGTTTATTGTTGTATCAGACACTGCTCAAAAGGAATCTGGACTCTGAATGTGTTCAAATACAGTATAGATACTGAATCATGTCCATATAGTTAGTACTGGCCTATGCTGTTACAAAAATCAGTAAAAAAGTCAGTTTAATTGATATAAGGTGAGATGACTAGAAAAGTTCATTCATTTTCCTTCAGCTTCGTCCCTTTATTCAACAGGGGCCACATGTCTTTGGATGGAGGGGAAAATCCACACCAACTAGGGGACAACATGCAAACTCCACACAGAAATTTCAGAACCAGCAACCTTCTTGCTGTGAGGTGACAGTGCTGCTAACCACCGTGTCCCCGAAAAGTTCATTTGATTAAACTAAAAAGATTAAAGCAGGAAGACTCTTTTTACAGTGTATATTAGTTTCACCTTTGTGTTTTTTTATTTCAGCTCTTTTGTTTTCCTAAACAGTGATATGAACTTCGCTATTAAAGATTAAATAATTAAAATGACGGGTGTCATGGTGAAGCAGTGGGTAGCATAATCGCCTTGAGTCCCAGCTGGGTCAGTTTGCATTTATGTGTGGAGTTTGCATGTTCTCCTCAAGTTCACATTTCCTCCAGGTGCTTTGGTTTCCCCCACAGTCCAAAGACATGCGGTATAGGTGAATTGAATAAATTAAACTGGCTACAGTTTATGTGTGTGAATGCAAGAGTGTATGGGTGTTTTGGGATGTATGGGGAAGGGCAGTGTGGGGAAGGGCATTCCCTGTGTAAAAAATGTTCTGGATAAGTTGGTGGTTCATTCCACTGTGGCAACCCCTTGTTAATAAAAGGATTAAGCTGAAAAGAAAGTGAATGAAAGAATAATTAAAAAAAAAACATTAAACACTGACATCATTCACATAATATGAAATATTAAAAGAAAAATTTCTCACAATTATGTGCATGTCTTGTTGGTCATTTGAAATTCAGTTAATGTGAAAAGCTGCTGTATATTTTCTTTACAAATCATTCCTAAGGCATCTCCACTTCAGGAAATGACATCAGCACCCTGTTTCTGTGGTTTATACAAAAGCAGCGAAAACCCGAATTACACCCATTCACATGAATAACCAGATAAATAATGTTTGTATACATTTATATCATCCTTCTGTTAGAGATCCCAGGTAAGTCTCATTTAGAATAATGAAGCAACTTTAATAAACAAAACAATAAAAATGCTGTATTTTATTATTTTTATTTTTTTTTATTAAAGCAGCTGTTCTTGGAGTGGACGTGGATCAAGGTCCAAAAACTTTGGTTAAAGCAGCAGGAAAAACTGTGTATTTGCCTTGTAAAGCAACTGGTTTGGAATATATTCATTGGTACCAAGTAAAAGATGATGAAGCCCCATCAAGACTGCTTTATATCAGTCGAGATGGTGTTGTCACCCGTGATAACAATGCTCAAACACATGACTTCACAGTGGACAAAACCAGGCTTTATAACCTAAAACTGGGTGATGCTCAGCAAAAACACGCTGCTGTCTACTTCTGCGCCTACTGGGACTCAAGCAGCCACAGTGAGAACATTAGTTCACATCCTGCACAAAAACTAGCAAACACTTACTATATGAAATACTAGAATACTTCATTCATTTAACTTTTAATTTCAATTTGAGTTTAACTCCTGTTGGGGGGCAACACGGTGGCCCAGTGCTTAGCACTGTCTCACAGCAAGAAGGTCGCTGGTTCAAGTCCCAGCTGGGTCAATTGGAATTTCTTTGTGGAGTCAGTATGTTCTCCCTGTGTTCGTGTGGGTTTCATCTGGGTGCTCCAGTTTCCCCTATAAAGACATGCAGTACAGGTATATAGAATAAGCTAAATTGGCCATAATGTCTGTGTGTTTTTTCCCAGTTCTGGGTTGCAGCTGGAAAGGCATCCGTTGTGTGAAACATATGCTAGATAACTTGGTGGTTCATTCTGCTGTGGTGAAAAATTGTGAAGCTTACAAAAAATATGGACCATTTTTTCTGTTTAATAAAGGGCTTGCTCAAAATATCATATGTATTTATTTATTCATTCATTTTCTTTTTGGCTTAGTCCCTTTATTCATCAGTAGTCACCACAGCGGAATGAATCCCGAACTTATCCAGCATAAGTTTTACACAGCAGATGACCTTCTAGCCACAACCCAACACTACGAAACACCCTACACACTTCTTCACACACATACACTATGGCCAGTTTAGCTTACCCAAATCACCTATACCACATGTCTTTGGACTGTGGTGGTAACCAGAGCACCCAGGGGAAACCCGCTCGAACACAGAGAGAACAAGCAAATTCCACACAGAAATGCCAACTGACCCAGCCAGTGCCTGAACCAGCGAAAAAAAAATCTAAAGAAACTTTGTTCTTTTTAAACAGTGATTAGTGGATCATGGTTGTGTCTATATGAACAACTATTTGATCAGGCAGACAGGCATTATTATGCAGAACCTAGTTTAAAAGATCAACATCTTTAAGCAGAAAAAGGCAAGAAGCTACAATCTGGAAGCAGTTTAGTATAATTGTTGAAAAAACATTGCTCGGGCATGTGGTTTGTGTGTTGTAATAACAACACTTCTGCTGTGTGTTTGAATATACTTTCGGCATTTAAAAAAATACATAAATTTAAAAAGAAACTCACAACCTTCTTGCTGTGAGGCGATCGTGCTCCCCACTACATGCTACTTCGTGCTACATGTTTATCTCAGTGGTAAAATTACATAGCATATGTGCCATTGTTGTTTTGGGATTATGTGTAATTATTTGTATTTATACATGTATTTATCATACAGTTCTTCAAGGTGTATGTAAACTTTTGAATTTAATTTTTGAACTGTATGTACTGTAATTTTCAGTTCAGTAAATAAGTGATATTATCACTCGTATTTTTGTGATAAAAAAATAAATTCTAGTAGCAGCAATTTGTCTTTTCATAACTTTATGCTTTTCATAAGCAAAAGGCAGCTAGCTAAAAAAAAGCCAACAGCTAGCTCTCTGCAACTATCTCATGGTTGCCCACTGAAGCTAAGCAGGGCTGTATCTGGTCAGTACCTGGATGGGAGACCACATGGGAAGACTAGGTTGCTGCAGGAAGTTGTGCTAGTGAGGCCAGTGGGAGGCACTCAACCTGTAATATGTCTGGATCCTAACGCCCCAGTATGTTGATGGGGACTCTATACTGCTTAGTGAGCGACATCTTTCAGATGAGATGTTAAACCGAGGTCCTGACTCCCTGTGGTCCCAGGACGTCCCTCGAAAAAGGGTAGGGGTTTAACCCCGTTATATCCTGGCCAAATTTGCCCACTGGCCTCCTAACCATCCCCATATCATAATTAGCTACATCACTCTGTCTCCTCTCCATCAATCAGCTGGTGTGTAGTGTGTGGTCTGGTACAATATGGCTGCCGTCGCATAATCCAGGTGGATGCTGCACACTGGTGGTGGACAGTGTAAAGCACTTTGAGTGAATAGAAAAGCGCTATTTAAATGTAAGGTATTATTTTTATAAATCAAATTATTTTAATCAGTTGAAGTTAAAGAAGCTTTAAATACATTTCCAATTCCAATGTTTTGCAATATGTTTTATGTGTTTGTTTGTTTGTGTAATAAAACCTTTTTTTTTTTATTAAGTATTGAGATTGGCTACAAAAATGACAGTGTATAACTTGAAAGCATGTGTGATTTCATACATAGAAGTAAAATTTAAAAGATTTAAGTGAACAAATCTGAATTATTTCAAAAGCCTGTATTCAATTATTCCATAGTTTAAAAAATCTTGTCATCGTTCCCTCTCTGGGATCTCATCATTTAACTCTTTATAGGACACTCAGTGAAATATTGAATGGGCAAACCTGGAGTATTAATGGAGGTTATTACAAGACTTACAAAATGTTATGACAAACAAAATTATGACTAGTGTCAATGAATAATTGTGTTATATGGTTATTCACCTGATAAAGGGTTAAGAAGACTTTAAAAGTTTATAAAGGAAGGGAAAACCATTGTTTGTCACTAGGCAGAGTTCAACCAGAAGAGCAATTCAACAACCACGATTATTCCTCGCCTCAACACATTTAAGAAACAATAAATGTAACAATTGAATGTCTTACAGTGGATGGTGCTGTTGAGCTATTTTGATGATTTATTTCAGCATTAGGGCTCTTTAAAATTTAAGAAAAATAACATAATAAATTCCCTTGTTTGGTAAAAATCTGTTGTTAAATGTTTTTTATGAAACAAAAAATTGATACAAAATAAAATTAGAGACATGAGGATAATGTAAAGAAAAACCTTTTGTATATGTGACTATAATTTAAAGTAATTTGGCATTTAGTTAATGTACATAAAAAAGTTTTTGAAAAGGTTTTAAGGCAATTTGATTTCAGGAAATGACATCACAACCAATCCCGAGGTACAAAAGCAGCATGAAAACTGACTGAAAGATGTCACTGACGCAAATTCACCTTATTCACAGAGATGAAAGATGTTTTTCTACATTTATGTCATCCTTTTTTTAGAGATTCCTGGTAAGTGGCATATAATAATAAACAATTATAACAAAATTATATTAATTTAAATGTATTGTAATTTGCTTTAAAGCAGCTGCTGTGGGAGCGAAACTGGATCAAGGTTCAAAGGCTTTGGTTAAAGCAGCGGGTAAAACTGTGTATCTGCCCTGCAAAGTGACTGGTCTGGAGTCTTCTAATTATGTCCATTGGTACCAAGTAAAAGATGGTAAAGCCCCATCAAGACTACTCTATATCAGCATAGATGGTGCTGTTGTTCGTGATGATAAAAATCCTCAAACAAATGACTTCACAGTGGACAAAACAAGGCTTTATGACCTAAAACTGAGTGACACTCAGAGCAAACATGCTGCCGTTTACTTCTGCGCCTCCTGGGAGTACGACTCAAGAACAGGACACAGTGAGAAGATTTATTTACACCCTCTACAAGAACTAGCACATCTAATTACTGCATTACATATAAGAAACCTTTATTTATCATATTCTTTGTTTGATTCAATAATACACAGAGTAGATGGATGATTAGATCTAAACTAAATGCACTTATGTCTGTTATTCATAAAACATGTCACTTTCATTTATGCTGAGAATATTTATGCCTATTTATACATTTTTTTAATCATATTTTTATAGGGTTTGTAATTTTCATTTTAATGACAAACTCAAAATAGAACTTGTCCCTGTAGTTATTGTGATTTTACAATATCTTTTATTTATCTTAAGTGTATAGCATATCTTATATTTGTGTTCATCTCAACAGTTGTGAAGATACATAAAAATATATGCCTATAACTGTTTGGATTCTGATGGAATTATGGGTATTTCTTTCTTTCTTTTTTTTTTTAAATAAAGGCATTTATATTATTTATGTGTTTTATGGGTTTGAATACGCATACACTAAAAATGAATTCCACATGTTTCATTCATGTTATGCCAACACAAATCGATTAAGTTAACACTCTTAACAAATTTATGTGGATTGAACTTAAATTAAGTTGTCTCAATGAAATCTCAAGAATTGTGTTGTTTTAGCTCATTTTAAATAAGTAGTTTAAATTAGCAAAAACACATTTTTTGTGTGTATAATATTCAGTTTGATGAACTTGCTCAAAATATTTACATTTTCAAGGTGTAACAAGTGTGGCAACTTCATACGCTTTTTCATATGCAGTTTGTTTATTAAGTCATTTGAAAGTTACAGAAGTTTACAATAAAGTTCCTTTCACCACAAGTGTTGCTGGACCTCTCTTCATTTTTGTTCAGCTATTTCATTCCATGATTTACTTTTGTCAAAGTTACAGAAGCAGAAACTACAATTAAGTCTTTAGTTTAAAACAAATTCATTAACGCAATACAATCACTGTATTTTATATTTAGGCTAAGGCACATAATACTTTTCCTCTCTACAATTTATCTCTGTGACCAATTCAGCATTTATACACTTCCTGACAAAAGTCTTGTCACCTATCCAAGTTTTAGGGATAATAAATAATAACTTGACTTTTAGTTGATTATTTGATATCAGAAGTGGCTTATATGAAAGGCAAAGGCCTCTCGATTACGCTTATTTTACCAAAATAAAATATAATCAAGCCTTAATTTTTAATTATTTAATTAGAACTGTAAGGTCTGACTTTGCTTAGACAAAAGTCTTGTCACTTAACATAAATAATGTACAGTATAGTATGTAAAGTCATGGTGCAGTGGAAAAATAAATAATATTATGTATGACTTATGTATATTATGTATTATTATGTGACATCCATACATCTCTTCATTTTCAATGCCTCCTTCATCGTACCCCAGACATGCTCAATAATGATCATGTCTGGGATGGCCAATCCTGGAGCAATCCTTCTTTGTTTTAAGAACTTACTATCCTGCTGAAATATTTGCCCTCTCCTGTGGTTAGTAAGATAATGGGCAGCACAAATGTCTTGATACCTCAGGCTGTTGATGTTGCCATCCATGGTTGTTCTTACAACTGGAATCAACGACAAGACTTTTGTCAGGTAGTGTATTTTTAAATAACACTTTGTCTTCCAAACTGTATCAAAATGTCATAATTCAATAGCCTACTTTTTGAACTGAATTTTACCTATAGCCTAACATCTTCACGTTTATATGACTCAAATGCAGATGTCACTTTAGCAAAGAGCTGTTTACTCAAGACATGTAATTGGGTATATGCACATGTGGTGTTTTTTCTCCTAACAATAAATTCCAGTCAAAATTTTATGTGACAATTTTAAATTTCATAAAGTTCCTTTTATAGCATTGATGTTGTATTGTAATTAAAATATAATCAGTTTAATAGACTTAAGCATTAATTTAGTTGATTAAGTGTACAACAAGGACCACCAGGAGCAACAGGCAAGCTCTAAAGCTCCATTGAAAATACTGTGGTAAAATAACTTTCATATTTTAAGGACATGTCACAAAACAATGGAATTGAATGCCATGCTTCTTGTACAGTCTGAGACCCATTTTATTTTATATATCAATCAGGCAGTGAAGATCATTGATTTGTAAAGAAAACAGACCTTAAACGTGGCGATTTTGTAATGGCATACAGTTCACCAGAAGCGATTGAACTGGGTTACTGAAAATTAAAAGTTCTTCTTCATATACTCTAAAATATAAACTACACTTGAAATGTTACTGAACCCATTAGTTTATCTTCCCTAAATAATCTTCATCACCTGATGACATCAAGCAAAAAGAGGAAACCACAAGGCATCATTACCTTCTGATTGGCTGCAGTCTTCAAAACTCTTCAAACTCCTGACAGACAGATGTAGACATGGCAGCGTCTGGAATAATAACGTTTGCTTTGTTAGTAGCCCTAGCCTTAATAGGTGAGATTTCAGCATTTCATTACAATTAGCGGACTATTGTCAGTTTGGGATATGGAGATTTAGCGTAGGCCTACCTCAAGGTTTCAATTCAAAATGATTTGTCAGCTATCCTATAATATTTTATCAAAACATTTTTTGTAGTGTATGCATACTTGTGATTTACAGTCATACATACAGGTCGCACTGTTTTATTGATGTATTGCTTTATACAGATTTCAACTGACTTTTACTGTTGCTCTGGATCCTCCTCAAGCATGTGTAACTGAGTTAATGAACTTCAGTGAATTTGTTTTGATTAACGTTAATTGTCAGAAATGCAGCTGAAGCATATGTATTGCACAAGATAAATGCTTAAATTATTGTTTTAGACATTCAGTAATTGCATTTTATTTTCTCATTGATTTTAGATCTTTTAAATGGACAAACTACACATGCTAAAGTTGTGTTTAAGGCCAAAACTAGAACTGCTATTATCAAATGGACCGTGGAATCGTCTCTTCTGTCCAACGCTCTCCACTTGTACAAAGGTACATCACAGAAAGGTTTAGAAAGGATCATGCATTTCGATGGTGGAGCAAAAAGAGGCACAGCAATCGTACCAAAATATTCTGGATTGGTGAGTGATAAGCAAGTGACTCTGACTATCTCAAAACTGGAGCCCAGTGATGAAGGAACATATTTCTATGCGCAGTGGGATTCTAACAACAGCACAGTGATAACTGTAAGAGGAAATCATTACAAAAACCCAGAGTAATCATCAACGAGGTTTGATTTGGAGCAACAGCAAGGGGGAGACATTGAATCTTTTATTTGATTTCCTATAACTGTGGGTGTGTTAGAAGAACAACATTGGTTTCATTGTGCAAAAATCTTCCACTTAATAAGATAGCAGCCCATTAAGAACGCCAAAAGAGCGGGATTCAACTTATTGATCATACTTTTGCTTTTATCTTTCAATTTTTGATGCAATGACCAAATCAGCCATGAGTCATAATTTAGCCAAGCAGGTGAACACCTGTAGGCACAATTACAGATATCACTATGAATAAGTGTCAAAAATACAAAGTGTTAATAGACAAATAGACATAGTTTTCTTTTTAAATAGCACAAAGATCATGTAAACACTTTATCTTAACACTTCTTTTTATGGAGTTAACTTGTTAACAAAGGTTCGGCAGCAGAACCATGCCTCACTTTGTCTCCTTAACCAATCACCTACTCCCTAAAACCTAATTTAAGGCAGACTAGCCTTCTAGAACTGCTCTTCTCATTCTCTCGAACCCTCTCTGCCTCTATTTCCTCGCTTCCCATTAACAATCCTATAACCCTTTCCTCACTCTTAGGTTGTATCGGGGGGTCCAATCACTCTACCAAAATTTTACAGAGATGGTACCACCATCTCTGTAAGTTTCTGAGTTTCTGCGCATCATCGTAGGACACCTGATCAACCTACCTACCTGTTCACTGTTTATCCTCATACTTCTGTTCCCCTTCATCTCACTGCTACCTTACCCTTCCCTTTCATCCCATCCCATCCCTACTATAAAGTCTAGCTCAAAGTGTGGTGTGGTCCATGCTGGTGAAAACTAAATGAAATTTACTGAAAGCTTTTTAATTGAATTAAACATTTACTTTAGATAGCTTTTATAAATAAATAAATAAATAAATAAATAAACTATAAAACAGAACTAAATTTCAAAGCAAATTTGAAGCTAAAAGCAGGTAAATAGCCTGTGTGGTTATACACTTTAAATACAATTGCTAAAAACAAAGAAAAGACAATTAAAAAAAAATTATGTTCAAAAAACTACACACACACAGGACCAATGGCAGGCCCTTTTTTAGGATACTCAATTTATGGCATTCAATTAATGCATATTTTAAAAAGGGTAAAGCCTTGATTGAGCCAATATAACTAACATTTCCTACTTCATATAAATTTATGAAGAGAGCAAAATACATCCCAGGAGGTACGTTTTTTTTGCAGTTTTTGTTTTCGCAAATCCACCAGAGGTGGCTGTGTACGCTTCTTCAGATCTTAAATTTTCCTGAGTGCCATTCACGCCTGCTGTTCTCAAGTAAATTTACCAGAGGCCGCTGACAACTAACTGACTGACCAACTGACCAAAGCACCTACCCTCCTCTTCTCCTTGCCTAAATCCAACCTATAGTGTTTTAAAACACTGGTTGACCCATCCACCCACTTCTCTAAACCCAACCGTAGTGTTTTGAGAAGCAATCTATATGATTTATCTCCATAAATGTACATAGGGCTACGTTTTCAGAATGAGAATATGTTACACAAATAAAGTGTGCAGGTCAACTAAAATGCCCTCATTTATAAACTTATATATAAAAAGTTTATCTGTGCTGTGAACTGTATCTCAGGAAATTACATCAGCAAACTGTATTTGCATGTCAAGGCAGTGCACAAAAGTGAATCAGCAATACTCCAAATGTATTTTCACCTACAGAATAGTTGAATAATGTTTGCATACATTTATATTGTTCTCCTTGCTGAGATCCCAGGTAAGTAAAGAAGCCTTGAAGACTTTATTCAAAGAACCATTTATGAAATAATATCATAATAATAATTTATGGCTAATCTAAGCAGCCGTTCTGGGAGTGACTTTGAATCAAGGTCAAAAGGCTTTGAGCAAAGCAGCGGGCAAAACATTATACTTGCCCTGTAAAGTGGCAGGTTTGCAGTCATGGAATTATATCCACTGGTACCAAATGAGAGACGGTGAAGCCCCATCGAGACTGCTTTATATCAATGAAGGTGGTGCTGTCACTTACGATACCAACAATCCTCAGGCAAATGACTTCACAGTGGACAGAAGAAAGCTTTATGACCTAAAACTGGGTGATGCTCAGCAAAAACACACTGCAGTTTACTTCTGCGCCTACTGGGACACAAGCAGCCACACTGAGAATATCTACTCACATCCTGTACAAAAACTATACTGGTAATTGTAATTATAATATATTTAACAATTAAATTATAACTTTTTGTTTAAGTTTTTCATTAAGAATTAAGTTGTAGGCTATACTGCAGTTATGGGTCTGTTTGGATCTAAACTGTAATGGGGTATTATGCACACTGACTTTTAATTTCAGCCAGCCAGCCTTAGCACTTCCGGTGAACTGGCTTTCCATTATAAAATCGCCACGTTTAAGATCTGATTTTCTTTTTTAAATCTGTGATCTTCGCTGCCTGATAGATATACATTATAAAGTGGGACTCAAACCAGACAAGAAGCACTGCATGAAATTCAATTTCTCCCGTCATGACTGTAAAATATTTTACCCCAGTATTTTTAAAGGAGTTTCTGCGCTAGCTGCCTGACCTTGACGCTGCTAGCAGTTACACTGTCTTTCATTTTGTTTTATGCTTAAAAATAAATTAATGCTTAAGTCTATTTAACTGATTGTATTGTAACTGCATTACAACATCGATGCTGTAAAAGAAAACTTATGAAATTTAAAGTAGTCACATTAAGCTTTCATGGGAAATTTATCATTGGCTGAAAAACACTAGCTGTGCAAATAACCCATTGCCTTTGTGTTTATCGATATGAATAAACAGAGTGCAGGCCTATCTCATACGTGTGTGTAATTCAACAGTTTGGTGATATTATTATGCATTTATGTTTATTTATTGTATTGGTTTGGAATTTTCAGTTTAAAGAGAGCCTTGCTTGAAATATCACTTGTGATGAAAATATATTCTGTTCTTATGCGATGAAAATTAGAAAATGTCAAACGGTTTACTGTACCAGAAGAGCTGCACGATTCCTCTTCATGTTTGACTGGATGTTTATTTCATAAACCATGCAAGTGGATAACATTGTGTCAGTTCAGTCAGGGCTAATGGCGTATTGGTTACGTCGACACATGCACTCCAGTGCTCATGGTGACACAAGTTAAATTCCTGCCTCAAGGTCCTATGCTGATTCTTCCCCTCTTTCTGTCCTCCAAACCTTCCTGTCAATACTCTAACAATCCCCAGAGATCTAAACTTCAACATTCACATTAACTACAAGTCCTGTCATGCAACACACACACACACACCTGCTCGAAGTCTAAATTGATTACACTCACAAAGTTAATGCTGCTCAAGTACTGATTACACAACACATATACAGCTCACTTTGAGACAGTCTTGTTATACTGAATTGTGAACGTTATGATGCGGTTTCCTTGCCTTGCCTTCCGTCTTTGAACCTTGCTTTGTTTTGTTTGTTTACCTCATATGCTGCCTGCCTTTTGACTATTCACCTGTGTATTGACCACGACTCTGGATTGCCCGTATACATCTGTTTGCTCCTGTGTTGACTGTTGCTTGCCTGACCATTCTTTGTAAATAAATCTGCGTTTAGATGCACTCTGTTGTCAGTGTCCTACTTCACATTACAAATACTCTCTACTACTGTGCTTTCCAATAAAGATGAAAACCCCAAAAAAAAATTATAAAAAAAAAATCAGTTCTACTTTATAGGCATTGCAGTATTCAACAAATGTTTTAATTCTAAAATCATTGAAATAATAAAGTTTTTATTTATTTCTATTTATTGTAATATTTTTTTTTTTACAAAACACTGAGTCTGGCATTTTTTTATCTCATTCAAATGTATACTGTTTACTATTTTAACAGTAAAAACACACTCTAGGTAAGCTATACTGTGCCATTTTTTTTTTTTTTATCTAAATTTTACTCAACACTGACCTGCTTTTTTATTTAAACAAGTCCCTTTAGAGGAACTAAAAGCTGTTTGCCAATTATTAAGTTTAAGTTGTGTGAAAAACAATGCCATAGTGATGACGAGAAGAAATGTGTAAAGAGGAAACCACAGGGCTGTTTTCATTAGCTGTTCATAACTCTTCAAACTTGCATCTTGGTCGACAGATGCAGCATGGCAGTGTCTGGAATTATAACATTTGGGTTGTTAGTAGTTGTAGGTGAGATTTGTTAACATTTTTGCTAAAAAGTAATTTCCTTTTATTGTTGTTAATTTTTTTGTTAATTTTGCGTTATTTTTGCTTTATCTGATGAATTTCACTTAGCACAATAATTTAAAAACAAAAATAAACACATCTTATGTATTACATTTTAATATTATTTATTAAAAATTTGATCATTTGTTTATTATTTATTATAAACACAGCTTACTTATTATAAATTCATTTGATTCCAATTTCAGATTAACTGCTGTTCTTGGGTAACTTTTAATAAATTAAACGTTTAAAATATAAGCTTTAAATATGGTTAATTTCAGATAGACTAATTGATATGTGTTCGCAAGTTTTAATTGTTTCTCTTTTGGTTTTAGGTTGTGTAAATGGACAAAATATTATTCATAGGAAACCTCTGGTAATCAGAACACTGGGTAAAACTGCTCTAATCAAATGCCAAGTGGATGCATCGACGCTTCAGTCCAATGCTTTGCACTGGTACAAAGCGAGTAAAGGGGGAGCTTTCCAGCGATTAATGTATTACGAGGCTAAAACCACATCAGCCAAAAATGATGCCGATGTGAGCCGTAGATATTCTGGGTCGCTGGATCGCGGGGAAGTGACTTTGACTATCTCAACGCTGACGACAGATGATGAAGGAACATTTTACTGCGCGCTCTGGAGTGGAAAGCACAGTGCTTACTGTCAGAGGAAACCATTACAAAAACCCTTCATTAGCAGTTGGCACAACAGCAGAAGCAGACAGCTTTAATCTTGTTATTGTTGTTAGATTAAAACGCTATTTTAAATGTTACAAAAATGTGTCTTAATATAAATAAATATAGTATTTACTATGCTGGAACCCACAATCTACCACAATAAAAATAAAATAATGTTGCTGTTTTTTAAATGTTATTTATTGTTATTTCCTCTTTGGTATATCGAGGTCATAGTTATAAATCTTTTAAAATGCATTTCATGTTTACAGATTTGCCATAAACCTAAATTTATACATTCATTTTTACACCTAATTTAGCATACATTCCCATATCAAAATTTCTCTGGCCCACACAATCAGCTTTTGCTTGGCCCACATGCAGCAGTGAATTATGGTACATGACTGGACCAAGTCTTGATGCCAGACATTGACTAAACATGGACCATGTCTGGCCCAAGTCTCAGCCAAGTTAATAACCCATAACTGGGCCTGAACTGGACCAGATATGTTGACGCATCACAACTGCAATGAAATTGATAAACCTATGAAGCATTGCTCTTTTTTTCTCGAAGCAATCTGTTTGGTAAAATTTTATTTTTTATTCAAAAATATTAGAAATGTATTTTAAATGGTCAAGAAATTGTCAAGATAGGCCAAACTTACATGGCCCATCAATTATTAACATCTGGGCCAAACACTACATTTTACCTTTGGTCAAAGTATTGTGTGCCGCCTTAAAGACGGTACCACCTCTGTCAAACTGGCCATGTTTGGTTCACATGTTGTATACCAGTGCCGGATGAATGCCTGCTGTGCCAGCTTTATGCCAAATTGGGCCAGAATTCTTTGCTACTTATAATACACTCAATAGTCATATATTTATAATTCATCTGCTCTATTGCTACAATCAGCAAATTTAAATCAATCTAAGCACTTGACTGAACAGAAATATGAGTTCTGCAAAAAGTGTGAAAATATTAGTGTATATAAGCCATAGCAAATTTTCTCTAGCCCAGCTCTGGCCCACACAATCAGCTTTTGCTTGGTATACATGCTGCAGTGAATTACGGTACATGACTAGACCAAGTTTGGCTTCAAAAATGGACCATATCTAGGCCAAGTCTTTTTTTAACCAATAAGTGGGACTGAACTGGGCCGGATAGGTTGGTGTGTCCCGACTGCAATAAAATTGATAAACCCATGAAGCATTCCGCTTTAGCTGCATTATGGGCATGTTTTTTTCTCAAAGCAACCTGATAAGTAGAATATAGTTTTATTACTCAAAAGTAATTTAAATGTATTTTAAAAGTTGGTCAAGACGGGCCAAACTCATGTGGCCCACATATCTTTTTTAACATCTGGACCAAATACTACATTTGATATCTGGCCCATGTCTTGTGTGCCACCTTAAAGATGGTGCCACCTCTGCCAAACCCAGGTCATGATTGTCCCACATGCTTCAAGCGAAATCTAGGCCAGATTTCTTTGCTGGGAATATACAATAATAATACTGATAAATATTTTTAATAGGCTATAAAATCATAAGTCAATCAAGCTACACAATACACATGTGACAAGAATTGCTCAAAAATACCATTTTCAGAAAAAAATGATGTTAGTGTATGTTGAAGGCCTTCCCTTAACCCATTTAGTCACAATTTTTGAGAATATGCATTTTACTAGACCTCTATAACACAAACTTTATGCCTCCTTTTGATTAAATTGGGTTTTATGCAGCATTGTCAGAACTGCACTATAATTCAGTTGTTTTAATGTGTTATACCTACTGTACCAGTCACTGTTGTAAGTATTAACATTTTCAACCTCTTACATTTTCAGGAGGATGTATGTTAACTGATCTGGTGATATGACTAATATATTTCAATTAAAACAATTTATTTTTCATTAAAAAGTTGAATTTCTTGGCCAAAGACTACAACACTTTTAGACCTTTTTGAAATAATAAAACACACACACACACACACACACACACACACACACACACACACAGTCACAATTGTAAGCAGTGGGACATAATAATAATAATAATAATAATAATTCCTTACATTTATATAGCGCTTTTCTGGGCACTCAAAGCGCTTTACACAGTGGGGGGAATCTCCTCATCTACCACCAGTGTGCAGCATCCACCTGGATGACGCGACGGCAGCCATTTTGCGCCAGACCGCACACCACACACCAGCTGATTGGTGGAGAGGAGACAGTGATGCAGCCAATTGAATATGGGGATGGTTAGGAGGCCAGGATGGACAAAGGCCAGTGGGCAGATTTGGCCAGGATGCCGGGGTTAAACCCCTACTCTTTTCGAAGGACATCCTGGGATTTTTAACGACCACAGAGAGTCGGGACCTCGGTTTAACGTCTCATCCGAAAGACGGTGGTTTAATACCATGTTTTCACCATCAAAATCATACACTTAAGTTTAAGCATACATTAAAAAGCATTAATTTTAAAATGTGATGACACAATTATGTGCTGTAATCTCCATTTCCATCTCAGGAAATGACATCAGCAAACTGCATTTGAATGCCATACAAAGCTGTTTACAAACGCAAAACAGAGCATGTCTTCTTCAGCTAGATAAATCATGTCTGTATTTCAGTATGTCCTCCTCCTCTCAGAGATCACATGTAGGTTTAATTAAACCCAATTAAATTATTAAATTAAACCATTAATAAAAACAGACATTTGTTTTGCTTAATCTAAGCAGCTGTTCTGGGAGTAACTTTAGAGTAATGTGTCG